GTGTTCATTAGGGCATGAAAACATTCTTGTAGTCCCTCCCTGTTTGACTGTTTTCTTCCATTTGATGCCTAATGAAGACAACCCTGTACTGCCTCCTCTCCTGTTCTATCCCTCCAAGGTGTCCCTGCTGTCTGTGGATGAGATGTACGACACTATCCCATTGGTAGAGCGGGATAAGTACTGGAACGAATCAGAGCCCCAGCCTCCATACACCGCAGCCAGCGCAGAGCATCGCAAACCTTCCTTCATGGGCTCTGCCCTGGACATCAGGTACCTTACAAACAGATCACAGACAGACACACACCTATTGGGCTGTTTCCCAGAACCCGATTTAAGCCAGTTCCTAAACTAAAAAGCTGTTTTTGTTTCAATGGAGATTCTTGCAGGAGTAGACCTAATCTTTGTCCAGGAAATCTTTGTCATAACAAGCTTAATAAGATTGTGCACTATAACACTTCCAGTACCAAACTAGCTTGATACGTTGGTGTGAGATCTATTCAATTGTTTAGGGAGAATCCAATTGTGCTGGAGTTTCTTCCTTTTAATCACTGAACTAGCTAACACATTCCTAATCATCACTCTTGTGTAAAGAGCAGATGGACAATAAAGTATTCATCATCTTCTCTCTAGTGTTCCCAAAGAGCAGATGGACAATAAAGTATTATTCTTCTCTCTAGTGTTCCCAAAGAGGAGATGGAGTTCCAGTCCAACCTGGAACAGATCAAGGAGCATGAGGAGGCCAACCACTCTACTCCTCTCCTGGGGGGTCTGAGTCGCCTCCTGGGGGTTCAGTCCCCAGTCTTCCCCCGCTCCTCCACCTCCTCCCGGGTATCCCTCCTGCGCCGGCGCCCCGGGGCTCCATTCAGCCGCTTCCCCCTCTTCCTGCACTCCGAGGGGGACCCGCCAATGCCGAGCCTCGGCCCTGGTCCCTGCCACAACTCCAGCCACCCGGACTACGCCTTCTCCTCCATGCCGCTGTACGAGAGGTCCGGCTTCTACAGCTGCCCCCAGACCCCCATCCATTGTGTTCCCCCCACTATGCCTCGTCCGCGGCCCACCCGAGGAGCTCACGCCTGGGATCGCAGCTCCAGCTCGCTGGCCCCTCCGATGGTTGGCTCTGGAGGTCTGCTGCCCCCTGATACTCCAGGTCATATGTTCCCTCCACCCTCGTCTGCCTTCCCCTGGCTGAGTGAGGAGGGGGAGGGTCCTTGTGTTCCAGCTTTCTCCTTCCCTGACCCTGGCAATCCTCCGGAGCTCTACCCCATGTCGAAGCTCCGGCCCGGGCAAGGCCTGCTGTCTCGAAGGCCCCCGCCTCCACGCCTCTCTCTGGATAACACACCGTCGGCCGAGGGCCTGCAGCCTAGACCCATCAGCCCCCGGGGAGTGGGAGGTGGAGGGGAGAGGGTGTTCTCCTTTACCCCTCCCTCTCGCACCCCAGCTACCAATCCCAATAACAGCTCCTCCTCCTGTATTAACACCACCAACCCCAACACCCCCAACCCCAACACCACTACTACAACCAACTTCTGCAATGGTACCAACCCCAACAACTTTTGTAACCATGCCAATTTCAACAACAACACTAGAGCAGCAGGGAGCAACAGTGGAACCAATGGTGGTCTAAGCAACAATGTTGTGAACACCTCCATTTCCACTTCCACTTCCGGGTCCTCTCAGCAAGAAGCCAATCAGCATCGAAACTCACCCAATGATTCAGGGATTTAATTGGCTGAGGGGGGGGCCCTCACTGGCTGGGAGCTCTGTTAGTGGAGAGTGGGATGAACAAGGCCCCTGGGGGGTGGGAGCAGGACTGAGGAAGGAGGGAGATGATTGGACAAGGCCCCTGGGGGGTGGGAGCAGGACTGAGGAAGGAGGGAGATGATTGGACAAGGCCCCTGGGGGGTGGGAGCAGGACTGAGGAAGGAGGGAGATGATTGGACAAGGCCCCTGGGGGGTGGGAGCAGGACTGAGGAAGGAGGGAGATGATTGGACAAGGCCCCTGGGGGGTGGGAGCAGGACTGAGGAAGGAGGGAGATGATTGGACAAGGCCCCTGGGGGGTGGGAGCAGGACTGAGGAAGGAGGGAGATGATTGGAAAGACCCAGGGTTCAGAAGTAGTGTAGGCCTACGCAGTACACACATATTTTATTCAGACTGGAAGGTTCCAGCACTTCTGTCCAGTGGTAGTCTTGCGAGGCCATCCTTCCAAATGTGAGCGAAGCCTGGACATCCAAGACTAGACCAGCGTAGAGGCTGCTTCTGAAATGTTTATAGGAATCCCACACAGTGGAGAGGTTGCTAATATCACATTTCTTCTTCATACTATTCCAGCTAGTAAACCAGTACGAAATCTACTGAAGAAAGAATCCTTTGTTTGCTGAATCTCAGACGCCTACGTACTGGAGGCCTACCTGAACTACTGAAGAATCCCTATATCAATCATCAACCCTTTAAGAAAAGATTGACTTCTAAAATTCTGGTCAGAGGTGCTAAGTACCTTCGGCTGTCAGTATCTCTGGTGTGTTTCTGCTAAATTCCGGGTAATTTTCCCAAAATGTCCAGAAATCATTTGGAGGATTTCTGCGTATTCTCTCCTGATTCTTCCAACCAGGATTTCTGGAAAAAAACAAATCAAATTGTATTTGTCACATGCACTGAATACAACAGGTGTAGACCTTTCCGTGAAATGCTTACTTTACAAGCCCTTAACCAACAATGCAGAGTTTAAACTAAAGGAAAAATAGTAACGGAATAAAATAACAATAACGAGGCTATATACAAGGGGTACCGGTACCGAGTCAATGTGCAGGGGTACGGGGTAATTGAGGTAATATTTACATGTAGGTAGGGGTAAAGTCATTATGTATAGATAATAAACAGAGAGTAGCAGCAGTGTGTGTGTATATGTGTGTGTGTGTGTGTGTGTGTGTGTGTGTGTGTGTGTGTGTGTGTGTTGGAGTGTCAGTGTAGTGTGTGTAGAGTGTGTGGTTAGAGTCCAGTGAGTGTACATCGAGCCTGTTGAAGATAAATAAATAAACAAGAATAAAATAAGGGGTCAATGTAAATAGTCCGGGTAGCAATTTGATTAACTGTTCAGCAGTATTATGGCTTGGGGGTAGAAGCTGTTAAGGAGTCTTTTGGTTCTAGACTTGGCGCTCCGGTACCGCTTGCCGTGCGGTAGCAGAGAGAACAGTCTATGACTAGGGTGGCTGGAGTCTTTGACCATTTTTTTGGGCCTTCCTCTGACACCGCCTGGTATAGAGGTCCTGGATGGCAGGAAGCTTGGCCCCAGTGATGTACTGGGCCGTACGCACTACCCTCTGTAGTGCCTTGTGGTCGGATGCCGAGCAGTTGCCATACCAAGCGGTGATGCGACCAGTCAGGATGCTCTCGATGGTGCAGCTGTAGAACTTTTTGAGGATCTGGGGACCCATGCCAAATCTTTTCAGTCTCCTTGGGGGGAAAAGGTGTTGTCGTGCCCTCTTCACGACTGTCTTGGTGTGTTTTGGACCATGATAGTTTGTTGGTGATGTGGACACCAAGGAACTTGAAGCTCTCGACCCGCTCCGCTACAGCCCCATCGATGTGAATGGGGGCGTGCTCGGCCCTCCTTTTCGTGTAGTCCACGATCAGCTCCTTTGTCTTGATCACGTTGAGGGTGAGGTTGTTGTCCTGGCACCACACGGCCAGGTCTCTGACCTCCTCCCTATAGGCTGTCTCATCGTTGTCGGTGATCAGGCCTACCACCGTTGTGTCGTCAGCAAACTTAATGATGGTGTTGGAGTCGTGCTTGGCCACGCAGTCGTGGGTGAACAGGGAGTACAGGAGGGGACTAAGCACACACTGGGGGGTGTGATGGTCACCACCTGGGGGCGGCTCATCAGGAAGTCCAGGATCCAGTTGGTGTTCAGTCCCAGGGTCCTTAGCTTAGGTGATGAGCTTTGAGGGCACTATGGTGTTGAACGCTGAGCTGTAGTCAATGAACAGTATTCTCACGTCGGTCTTCCTTTTGTCCAGGTGGGAAAGGACAGTGTGGAGTGCAATAGAGATTGCGTCATCTGTGGATCTGTTGGGGCGACATGCAAATTGGAGTGGGTCCAGGGTTTCTGGGATGATGGTGTTGATGTGAGGGAGCCATGACCAGCCTTTCAAAGCACTTCATGGCTACAGACGTGAGTGCTACGGGTCAGTAGTCATTTAGGCAGGTTATCTTAGTGTTCTTGGGCACAGGGACTATGGTGGTCTGCTTGAAACATGTTGGTATTACAGACTCTGTCAGGGGACAGGTTGATAATGTCAGTGAAGACACCTTTCCAGTGACCTGGGAATTTTGGGAAAGTTACCGGAATTATGCAACCCTAGTTTCTGCTATAGAGTAATCAATCATATATATTATAAATATCATCCGTTTCTTACGCAGTCTAAGGCCGTAAACATTGCACTGGTGTTTATTTGTCCAGCAACTCTGTTCAAATAAGGTCTATAAAAGGATAATTATCTAGGGAATAAGGTACCCTTTGGGACACACCTACTGATCTGATCCCCTCATATCTATATTATTATTATTATATTATATTATTATTATTATTATATTATATCTATGCTTACTCCAACTGTGATCGATTAGCCTGACACGACACAACACATTACGAAATCCCAGTACAATATCAACGTTTTGAAACAGGACAAAACGTGTCGTTCTAGAAGTCTCTGTAACAAGGACGGTTTAGAAAATTCCAGTAACTTTTCCCCAAATTCCCAGGTTTTATAGAAATCCAGAATCCCCTAACCAGGATATCTAGAATTCTCAGGAATTTGGGAAGAGTTACCAGTATTTTGCAACCCTATGAGGGTGCAACACATTGCCAAGTGGTCATATGAATATGAAGTACTTTATTTTAAACACAGATTTAAAAAAAAAATATGTACATATATTGTTTTTCCTTGAATGATACTGTGTATAGTTAGTTGGAGTAGTAGTGTTATTTTTGGTTGTTTGTTCTGTAATAAATATTAACCTTTCAAAAGGATCTGAATTTTGGCCTTATTTAATGCACATCTGACCCGTCTAATATTCAAACAGACAGTCAACACAAAGTGATTCAAATATTTATCATCATACATAGATAAAACACAGACCAAATTCTAAAATATATACATCATTTCATTAAAATGCCAATTAATGAACTGTGTGGACATAATATAATGGAAAAGGTATTCAACTTAACATCTTTCCTACAATCACTCGATATTGACTTCACAAATTAAACATGAAAAGCATTAGTGAAAAAAACGGAGTTATAACGTGGTCCTGCTGCCAGTCTCACTTTTAAACTCCACCAAGCTACGAGGCATTTCTAGGAACCAGTTAAGTCTTTATTTTGGCAGCGCATGTCAATTGTAACGGACACATACTGTATGTAGGTAAACAGAGGGAAGATATAGCCTGGTTCCCAGATCTGTTTGTGCTCTTGCAAACTCCATTGCTGCCTTCGTCAAGCCAAACTGAATGACAAGGAGTTGGCATGATAGCACAGACAGACGAAATCAGTCCCCGTGTAGCTCAGTTGGTAGAGCATGGCGCTTGCAACGCCAGGGTTGTGGGTTCGATTCCCACACGGGGGACCAGTATGAAAAATGTATGCACTCACTAACTGTAAGGCGCTCTGGATAAGAGCATCTACTAAATGACAAAAAAATAAAATAATGTAGTGAAACCATAGAATGGCGGCCAGTAAATCTAGAGCAGTAATGTAAATAGAGCAATGGCTTCTGGTCATTTTGGTCTTTAAGCACTAGGGGATTACCAGTCGTAAGGACAGACCAAACATGCTAAACTGACCAGCAGGCGGGAAAATGGGTTGTGTTCATTCGTAAACAAAACGGACTGAAAACTGTGAGGTACTACTATCTGAATTTATCCAATAAGAAATGTCCGTTTTCTGTTTCAATGTATTTTTTGCTACGGTGTGCACTAATGAACACAACCCCTGGCATAAGGGGATGTTTGGCCGCTACTCCTTCCCCAGGGTGTGTTTGTCAAAGAGGTACTCCGCCATGCCGTTCTGCGGGGCCCCCATGTGACGCAGGTTGGTGACCCAGTCACTCAACTCCTTGATAGACTTGACCTGCTCATCCAGATAGTGGGTCTCTATGAAGTCACACATCTGAGGAAAGGTTTTTTGTTACGGTCATTAGGAAGAGGATCAAATCTCCAAAACAGACACTATGGGTTTTTCCCTGACCCAGATTAAAGCTCAATGCTATAAACAGCAGGGTTGGAGTCCGTTCCATTTAAATTCCAGTCAATTAAGGAAGTACACTGAAATTTCAATTCCAATTCTCTTCAATGAGGAAAATGTGGAATCTGAATTTCGTTTACTTTCTGAATTGACTAATTGAAATGGAATTGACCCCAACCCTGCTAAAAAGCATGCTCACAAGACAAATCTTCAATGAAAATTGAAAGTGCTTTTTAGTCTGGTGACTAAGCTTAATTGGTGTCCGGGAAACTGTCCCTATGAGCTGAGCTGTGTGTAACTCACGTGAGGGTCGTTGTGTTCTGTGGCTACTTTGTGCAGGTCTAGCAGGGACTGGTTGACACTCTTCTCCAGCTGCAGGGCACATTCTAGGGCCTCCAGCCCACTGCCCCACTCGTCTCGGTCGGGTTTCTGACACACACACAGAGAAACAGTTGATCACAATTATGAATATATATATATATGCCTCAAACTGACAGAGCCCATTAAATTGTGGCAATATGTTGAACCAATCAATCAATCAATCTCTTTATTGTCCCAATTAGGAAATGTGTTGTGCAGTCTGGGTTCAACAATAAAAACAACATTAACAACAGGACAACCATACAACAGATATACACATATCGGTCAATCGGTACCACCAGCGATGCTATCTCTTTCATAGTTACCCAATGCATAGGTGTACCTCCACTGTACTCATATCCTTCCATATCCTTGTCTGTACATAATGCTCTGAATCTATTCTACAACGCCCGGAAATCTGCCCCTTTTATTCTCTGTACCCAACGCACTAGAAGACCAGTTCTTAAAGCCTTTAGCCGTATCCTTATTCTATTCCTCCTCTGTTCCTCTGGTGATGTAGAGGTTAACCCAGGCCCTGTAGCCCCCAGTATCACTCCTACTCCCCAGGCGCTATCATTTGTTGACTTCTGTAACCGTAAAAGCCTTGGTTTCTTGCATGTTAACATCAGAAGTCTCCTCCCCAAGTTTGAGTAATTCACTGCGTTAGCACACTCTGCCAACTGTGATGTTCAAGCAGTGTCTGAATCCTGGCTTAGGAAGGCCACCAAAAATTCAGAAATTTCCATCCCGAACTACAACATTTCTCGTCTTGATAGAACTGCCAAAGGGGGCAGAGTTGCAATCTACTATCCAGGTCTGTGCCCAAACAGTTTGAGCTTCTACTTCTAAAAATCCACCTTTCCAGAAATAAGTCTCTCACTGTTGCCGCTTGCTACAGACCCCCCTCAGCCCCCAGTTGTGCCCTGGACACCATATGTGAATTGCTTGCCCCCCATCTATCCTCAGAGTTTGTACTGCTTGGTGACCTAAACTGGGATATGCTTAACACCCCGGCCGTCCTACAATCTAAACTAGATGCCCTCAATCTCACACAAATTATCAAGGAACCTACCAGGTACAACCCTAAATCCGTAAACATAGATATCATCCTGACTAATTTATCCTCTAAATACACCTCCGCTGTCTTCAACCAGGATCTCAGCGATCGCTGCCTCATTGCCTGCGTCCGTAATGGGTCCGCGGTCAAACGCCCACCCCTCATCACTGTCAAACGCTCCCTAAAACACTTTAGCGAGCAGGCCTTTCTAATTGACCTGGCCTGGGTATCCTGGATGGATATTGACCTCATTCCGTCAGTAGAGGATGCCTGGATGTTCTTCAAAAGTGCTTTCCTCTCCATCTTAAATAAGCATGCCCCATTCAAAAAATTCAGAACTAAGAACAGATATAGCCCCTGGTTCACCCCAGACTTGACTGCCCTTGACCAGCACAAAAACATCCTGTGGCATACTGCATTAGCATCGAACAGCCCCCGCGATATGCAACTTTTCAGGGAAGTCAGGAACCAATATACACAATCAGTTAGGAAAGCAAAGGCTAGCTTTTTCAAACAGAAATGTGCATCCTGTAGCACTAACTCCAAAAAGTTTTGGGACACTGTAAAGTCCATGGAGAATAAGAGCACCTCCTCCCAGCTACCCACTGCACTGAGGCTAGGAAACACTATCACCACCGATAAATCTACGATAATCGAGAATTTCAATAAGCATTTTGCTACGGCTGACCATGCTTTCCACCTGGCTACCCCTACCCCGGCCACCAGCTCTGCACCCTCCGCTGCAACTTGCCCATGAACCCCCCCCTTCTCCTTCACCCAAATCCAGACAGCTGATGTTCTAAAAGAGCTGCTAAATCTGGACCCCTACAAATCAGCAGGGCTAGACAATCTGGACCATTTCTTTCTAAAATTAGCCGCCGAAATTGTCGCAAACCCTATTACTAGCCTGTTCAACCTCTCTTTCATAAACGTCTGAGATTCCCAGAGATTGGAAAGCTGCCGTGGTCATCCCCCTCTTCAAAGGGGGTGACACTCTAGATCCAAACTGTTACAGACCTATATCCATCCTGCCCTGCCTTTCGAAAGTATTTGAAGGCCAAGTTAACAAACAGATCACAGACAATTTCGAATCCCACCATACCTTCTCCACTATGCAATCTGGTTTCCGAGCTGGTCATGGGTGCACCTCAGCCACGCTCAAGGTCCTAAACGATATAATAACCGCGATCGATAAAAGACAGTACTGTGCAGCCGTCTTCATCGACCTGGCCAAGGCTTTTGACTCTGTCAATCACCGCATTCTTATTGGCAGACTAAATAGCCTTGGTTTCTCAACTGACTGCCTCGCCTGGTTCACCAACTACTTTTCAGATAGAGTTCAATGTGTCAAATCGGAGGGCCTGTTGTCTGGACCTCTGGCAGTCTCTATGGGGGTGCCACAGGGTTCAATTCTCGGGCCGACTCTATTCTCTGTGTATATCAATGATGTCGCTCTTGCTGCTGGTGACTCTCAGATCCACCTCTACGCAGACGACACCATTTTGTATACATTTGGCCCTTCATTGGACACTGTGTTAACAAACCTCAAAACGAGCTTCAACGCCATACAACACTCCTTCAGTAGCCTCCAACTGCTCTTAAACACTAGTAAAACTAAATGCATGCTCTTCAATCGAACGCTGCTTGCACCCGCCCACCCGACTAGAATCACTACCCTCGACGGGTCTGACCTAGAGTATGTGGAAAACTACAAATACCTAGGTGTCTGGTTAGACTGTAAACTCTCCTTCCAGACTCACATTAAGAATCTCCAATCCAAAGTTAAATGTAGAATCGGCTTCTTATTTTGCAACAAAGCCTCCTTTACTCATGCTGCCAAACATGCCCTCGTAAAACTGCATATATTATGTGGCTTAGATATTCAGACAAGAGGAGATGGCAAAATGGCCTCTACTCTAATCAATATGAAGCCTTGTATAGGGTAACATATCCCGGTAGTGCTGTTGTGTTTATTTATACCCTGATGTCCTGGAGGAAGATGCGTCCTCCTCTTTGATACTGTGTGTGTGTGTTATACCCTGATGTCCTGGAGGAAGATACGTCCTCCTCTCTGGTTCTGTGTGTGTGTGTTATACCCTGATATCCTGGAGGAAGATACGTCCTCCTCTCTGGTTCTGTGTGTGTGTGTTATACCCTGATGTCCTGGAGGAAGATACGTCCTCCTCTCTGGTTCTGTGTGTGTGTGTTATACCCTGATATCCTGGAGGAAGATACGTCCTCCTCTCTGGTACTGTGTGTGTGTGTTATACCCTGATATCCTGGAGGAAGATACGTCCTCCTCTCTGGTTCTGTGTGTGTTATACCCTGATGTCCTGGAGGAAGATACGTCCTCCTCTCTGGTTCTGTGTGTGTGTGTGTTATACCCTGATATCCTGGAGGAAGATACGTCCTCCTCTCTGGTACTGTGTGTGTGTGTTATACCCTGATATCCTGGAGGAAGATACGTCCTCCTCTCTGGTTCTGTGTGTGTGTGTTATACCCTGATGTCCTGGAGGAAGATGCGTCCTCCTCTCTGGTACTGTGTGTGTTATACCCTGATATCCTGGAGGAAGATACGTCCTCCTCTCTGGTTCTGTGTGTGTGTGTTATACCCTGATATCCTGGAGGAAGATACGTCCTCCTCTCTGGTACTGTGTGTGTGTGTTATACCCTGATGTCCTGGAGGAAGATACGTCCTCCTCTCTGGTTCTGTGTGTGTGTGTTATACCCTGATATCCTGGAGGAAGATACGTCCTCCTCTCTGGTTCTGTGTGTGTTATACCCTGGTGTCCTGGAGGAAGATACGTCCTCCTCTCTGGTTCTGTGTGTGTGTGTTATACCCTATATCCTGGAGGAAGATACGTCCTCCTCTCTTGGTTCTGTGTGGTGTTATACCCTGATATCCTGGAGGATAGATACGTCCTCCTCTCTTGTACTGTGTGTGTGTGTTATACCCTGATGTCCTGGAGGAAGATACGTCCTCCTCTCTGGTTCTGTGTGTGTGTTATACCCTGATGTCCTGGAGGAAGATACGTCCTCCTCTCTGGTTCTGTGTGTGTGTGTGTGTGTTATACCCTGATATCCTGGAGGAAGATACGTCCTCCTCTCTGGTTCTGTGTGTGTGTGTGTTATACCCTGATATCCTGGAGGAAGATACGTCCTCCTCTCTGGTACTGTGTGTGTGTGTTATACCCTGATGTCCTGGAGGAAGATACGTCCTCCTCTCTGGTTCTGTGTGTGTGTTATACCCTGATGTCCTGGAGGAGATACGTCCTCCTCTCTGGTACTGTGTGTGTGTGTTATACCCTGATGTCCTGGAGGAAGATACGTCCTCCTCTCTGGTTCTGTGTGTGTGTGTTATACCCTGATGTCCTGGAGGAAGATACGTCCTCCTCTCTGGTTCTGTGTGTGTGTGTTATACCCTGATATCCTGGAGGAAGATACGTCCTCCTCTCTGGTTCTGTGTGTGTGTGTTATACCCTGATGTCCTGGAGGAAGACACGTCCTCCTCTCTGGTTCTGTGTGTGTGTGTTATACCCTGATATCCTGGAGGAAGATACGTCCTCCTCTCTGGTTCTGTGTGTGTGTGTTATACCCTGATGTCCTGGAGGAAGATACGTCCTCCTCTCTGGTTCTGTTTACTCATCAGTTTCTCAGCATGCTCCTTCTCCTCCTTGGACTGAGTCAGGAAGAACTTGGAAAAGTTGGGCAGGGATTTGTCGTCTCTGTCAAAGTAGTACCCCTAGAAACACGTACAAGAGAAAGGTGGAGGTGTCACTAACGGGTCATCCTGCAGAACGTTGAGCCTGTATGAAATGTTCTCTACAACTAGATAGTTATTAGAAATAGCTCTGTCTAAATTCCTTTGAATCTCTAGCACAGGGAGAGATGAGTTAAAGACCGAACATGAGAATTGATCCAATTCCTCATTCGACTTGGAAATTGAACCCATCCTCTCTTGGCTCTATTCAGGTACAGGGAAGACACAGCAATGCCTTCCCCGGGACCACACCATACGTAAAAATGTATGGACACATGACTGTAAGTCGCTTTGGATAAAAGTGTCTGCTAAATGGCATATTTTTATTATTATTATTATTATGCATAGCAATATTCACTGTGTTTACATAACACAGACATACACTACCGGTCAAAAGTTTTAGAACACCTACTCATTCAAGGGGTTTTCTTTATTTTTTACTATTTTCTACATTGTAGAATAATAGTGAAGACATCAAAACTATGAAATAACACATATGGAATCATGTAGTAACCAAAAAAGTGCTAAAAAAAATCAAAATATATTTGACAGCTTTGCACACTCTTGGCATTCTCTCAACCAGCTTCACCTGGAATGCTTTTCCAACAGTATTGAAGGAGTTCCCACATATGCTGAGCACTTGTTGGCTGCTTTTCCTTCACTCTGCGGTCCCAAACCATCTCAATTTGGTTGAGGTCGGGAGATTGTGGAGACCAGGTCATCTGATGCAGCACTCCATCACTCTCCAGGCCCCGTGTAGCTCAGTTGGTAGAGCATGGCGTTTGCAATGCCAGGGTTGTGGGTTCAATTCCCACGGGGGGCCAGTATGAAAATGTATGCACTTACTAACTGTAAGTCGCTCTGGATAAGAGCGTCTGCTAAATGACTACATTTACATTTACATTTTAGTCATTTAGCAGACGCTCTTATCCAGAGCGACTTACAGTTAAGTGAGTGCATACATTTTTCATACTGGCCCTCCGTGGGAAACGAACCCACAACCCTGGCGTTGCAAGCGCCATGCTCTACCAACTGAGCTACAGGAGGCCAGGACAGAGTTACCTCTGCTGCAGAGGATAAGTTCATTAGAGTTACCAGCCTCAGAAATTGCAGCCCAAATAAATGCTTCACAGAGTTCAAGTCACAGACACATCTCAACTGTTCAGAGGGGACTGTGTGAATCAGGCATTCATGGTCAAATTGCTGCAAAGAAACCACTACTAAAGGCCACCAATAAGAAGAAGAGACCTGCTTGGACCAAGAAACACGACTAAAATGTAAAATGTCCTTCTTGGTAAAATAGCCCTTACATAGCCTGGAGGTGTGTTGGGTCATTGTCCTGTGTAAAAACAAATGATAGTCCCACTAAGCCCAAACCAGATGGGATGGAGTGTCGCTGCAGATTTCTGTGGTAGCCATGCTGGTTAAGTGTGCCGTGAATTCTAAATAAATCACAGACAGTGTCACCAGCAAAGCACCCCCACACCATCACACCTCCTCTTCCATGCTTTACGGTGGGAACCACACATGCGGAGATCATCCGTTCACCCACACCACGTCTCACAAAGACACGGCGGTTGGAACCAAAAATCTCCAATTTGGACTCCAGACCAAAGGACAAATTTGTCTTTTACTCGTGTAAAAGTCCATTACTCGTGTTTCTTGGCCCAAGCAAGTCTCTTCTTCTTATTGGTGTCCCTTAGTATTGGTTTCTTTGCAACAATTCGACCATGAAGGCCTGATTCACACAGTCTCCTCTGAACAGTTGATGTTGCGATGTGTCTGTTACTTGAACTCTGTGAAGCATTTATTTGGGCTGCAATTTCTGAGGCTGGTAACTCTAATGAACTTATCCTCTGCAGCAGAGGTAACATTGGGTCTTCCATTCCTGTGGCAGTCCTCATGAGAGCCAGTTTCATCATAGCGCTTGATGGTCTTTGCGACTGCACTTGAAGAAACGTTCAAAGTTCTTCACATTTTCCGTATTGACTGACCTTCATGTCTTAAAGTAATGATGGACTGTTGTTTCTCTTTGCTTATTTGAGCTGTTCTTCCATAATATGGACTCGGTCCTTTACCAAATAGGGCTATCTTCTGTATACCACACCTACCTTATCAAAACACAACTGATTGGCTCAAACGCATTAAGAAGGAAATAAATTCCACAAATTAACTTTTAAGAAGGCACACCTGTTAATTGAAACGCATTCCAGGTGACTACCCCATGAAGCTGGTTGAGAGAATGCCAAGAGTGTGCAAAGCTGTCATCAAGGCAAAGGGTGGCTATTTGAAGAATCTCAAATATAAAATATATTTTGATTTGTTTAACACTTTTTTGGTTACTACATGATTCCATATGTGATATTTCATAGTTTTGATGTCTTCACTATTATTATTATTATTCTACAATGTAGAAAATAGCAAAAATAAAGAAAAACCCTTGAATGAGGTGGTCCTCTGTAGCTCAGCTGGTAGAGCACGGCGCTTGTAATGCCAAGGTAGTGGGTTCGATCCCCGGGACCACCCATACACAAAAAAAAATGTATGCACGCACGACTGTAAGTCGCTTTGGATAAAAGCGTCTGCTAAATGGCATATTATTATATTATTATTATTATTATTATTATTATTATTATATTATTATAATGAGTAGGTGTTCTAAAACTTTTGACTGGTACTGTAAATATATTAATTATGAGAGACATACAGCTCTATATGTTTTACCATAGACAGGTAACGGTCCAGCTGGTGGCCAACTATTGGTCGTACCATAGACAGGTAACGGTCCAGCTGGTGGCCAACTATTGGTCGTACCATAGACAGGTAACGGTCCAGCTGGTGGCCAACTATTGGTCGTACCATAGACAGGTAACGGTCCAGCTGGTGGCCAACTATTGGTCGTACCATAGACAGGTAACGGTCCAGCTGGTGGCCAACTATTGGTCGTACCATAGACAGGTAACGGTCCAACTGGTGGCCAACTATTGGTCTTACCATAGACAGGTAACGGTCCAGCTGGTGGCCAACTATTGGTCGTACCATAGACAGGTAACGGTCCAGCTGGTGGCCAACTATTGGTCGTACCATAGACAGGTAACGGTCCAACTGGTGGCCAACTATTGGTCTTACCATAGACAGGTATACATAAGAGGCATACAGTTCCAGGTTGATCTGCCTGTTGATTGCAGCCTCACAGTCCTGGTGGAAGTTCTGTCGCACCTGGGATGTCATGGTTCTGGAAAGAGAGACAGAGTCAGGCAGACAGATGTTTAGTCTTTAGCTTGGTGCCTTGGACAACATGTTCTGCACAGTGCACACAGAGGAAGAGTGAACAACACAACTGCTAATAATCAAGTGCAAGTCATCCCCATTGCCAATTAACTGGCTAGATCAGGGCCTTATTTCCCCATAGCAATGGAACTTAGGCTCACAAGTGTTTTAACAAAGCATCTTTCCTACAACGGCCGAAGATGCAACATGCGTTTCCCAAAACACCACGCAGAGAGAACGGTCACTAAGTGCACCGTTGGAGCATGTGTCCATACTGTTAGGGTTGAAAGGAAGGGAGCGCTGCTCTCAGATCAGCTTTCTCCATTAAAATCTTTACCTTAACATTAGATTTATTTCACAATACTGATGACAAATATTGAGGCGGCTTGTTCTAATCCTTAACCCAATAGAAATGCACTAAATCATTGTGCACGTTGGGCTACACATCACTAAAATAAATTGAGACAAATGACAGACAGTCAGTAGCCTGTAGCAAAACAGAACTCAATTGATTGAACATTAAATGTATTTTAATATGATTGAAATAGGCCTATTAGCCTGCAGTTTATTGTATTTTAATGCAGCCATCTCGGTTTTCATTTGAATCATATCTTTATACGTCGCTTATTTGTATCAATTGCAAAGACATACAAAAGGTATGTGGACACCCCTTCAAATGAGTGGATTCAGCCACACCCGTTGCTGACAGGTGTATAAAATCAAGCACACAGCCATGCAATCTCCATAGACAAACATTGGCAGTAGAATGGCCCGTACTGAAGAGCTCAGTGACTTTCAACGTGGCACTGTCAAAAGATGCCACCTTTCCAACAAGTCAGTTGGTCAAATTTCTGCCCTGCTAGAGCTGCCCCGGTCAACTCTAAGTGCTGTTATTGTGAAGCGGAAACGTCTAGGAGCAACAACGGCTCAGCCACGAAGTGGTCGGCCACACAAGCTCACAGAACGGGACCGCCGAGTGCTGAAGCGCGTAAAAATCGTCTGTCCTCGGTTGCAACACTCACTACCGAGTTCCAAACTGCCTCTGGAAGCAACGTCAACACAATAACTGTTTGTCGGGAGCTTCATGAAATGGGTTTCCATGGCCGAGTAGCTGCACACAGGCCTAAGATCACCATGTGCAATGCCAAGCATCGGCTGGAGTGGTGTAAAGCTCGCCGCCATTGGACTCTGGAGCAGTGGAAACGCATTCTCTGGAGTGATGAATCCCGCTTCACCATCTTGCAGTCCAACGGACGAATCTGGGTTTGGCGGATGCCAGGAGAACGCTACCTGCCCCAATGCATAGTGCCAACTGTAAAGTTTGCTGGAGGAGGAATAGTGGTCTGGGGCTGGTTTTCATGGTTCGGGCTAGGCCCCTTAGTTCCAGTGAAGGAAAATCTTAATGCTACAGCATACAATGACATTCTAGACGATTCTGTGCTTCCAACTTTGTGACAACAGTTTGGGGAAGGCCCTTTCATGTTTCAGCATGACAATGCCCCTGGTGCACAAAGCGATGTCCATACAGAAATGGTTTGTTGAGATCGGTGTGGAAGAACTTGACTGGCCTGCACAGAGCCCTGACCTCAACCCCATCGAACACCTTTGGTATGAATTGGAACACCGACTGCTGTCGTAGAAATATCTGACTCAAAAGTAGTCAACTCAAAAATATCTCTCAAGAAACTGGAGCTTGTGAATCCAAAAATGTGACGTTATTATTTGCGTAACAAAGCCGAGCCCCTCCATGGAGCACCTGCTCTCCTTGGCTCAAAGATCTCTTTTTATACAAATACACAATCATGCTTACATAGCATATACAGTTACTCCCCTTAGGGCAAATGATTAACTTATTTTAGTGCCACTCTACCCTTATCTTTCAACGTCCAGATGTCACATGTGGTTAACTCCAATAGGCCATGGGCGCTTTTCCATATGAGGCCTCTTTCCCTTATCTCATTATATTGGTGGCAGACCCTTTCTTTAAAATAATACACATACATACATTAAGGCATGGCTACACACTACATTGGCTATATTCCTTATTTGAGCATGCATCTGGATTACAAAGTATCAACCATGTTTACAATATTTTACCTTTTAGCACTTCCCAACATTTGCCTTATAAAATATATCTATACTGTGCGCCAGGCCTAATCACACAACACCAGTGATCTTGTGGCTGAAAGGAAGCAAGTCCCTGCAGCAATGTTCCAACATCTAGTGGAAAGCCTTCCCAGGAGAGTGGAGGCTGTTATAGCAGCAAAGGGGGGACCAACTCCATATTAATGCCCATGATTTTGGAATGAGATGTTTGACGAGCAGGTGTCCACATACTTTTGGCCATGAAGTGTATTTGTAGTCAACTTTGTTCTTAAGTTGACTACAGTGGTCCTCTGTAGCTCAGCTGGTAGAGCACGGTGCTTGTAACGCCAAGGTAGTGGGTTCGATCCCCGGGACCACCCATACACAAAAATGTATGCACGCATGACTAAGTCGCTTTGGATAAAAGCGTCTGCTAAATGGCATATTATATATTATTATTATATTAAGTTATCAGCGGTCACAGAGAGATTCTATGTTTAGCCAAGATCTAGTCTATAAAGTGACGCGGGAGGGCAAAAAAAACATAATAATAATATGCCATTTAGCAGACGCTTTTATCCAAAGCAACTTACAGTCATCTAACGACGCCCTCCTGTAGCTCAGTTGGTAGAGCATGACGCTTGCAACGCCTGGGTTGTGGGTTCGATTCCCACGGGGGGCCAGTATGAAAAATGTATGCACTCACTAACTGTAAGTCGCTCTGGATAAGAGCGTCTGCTAAATGACTAAAATGTAAAATGTAGCTAGCTGTTCTACGAGTGGAAGCTAGGCGTTTTAAAGATTACGAGCGTGCAACGTTAGCTAATAATAACGATGTTAAGAACGTTAGTTAGCGACTGTTTTTTTGCCTCATCATGACAAGGCGCCCTTACAAGTTCAAGGTTATTGTTGCTAACAGGTAACGTTAGCTACCGTAACGCCGCTATCTAGTAGCAGAGGTGCAAACGTGGGTCATCAACAAATAACGCAACGAATATAGCCAGGTAATAACATTATCGAACAACGTATTTTAGACAGTATAAACCAGGTAAGATACCTCTGAGTTGTAAGAAAGCTTGCTAGTAGACTCCGTCCAAAGCTGTGTCGTTGACTGGGTGACAGTTGTTTCTGACGGAACACGTCATCACGTACTAGTCAGCGTACCTTTCAAAATAAAAGTCCTCCACACTGTGTTCATTTTGATCCAGTAGTCCCACCTCCATATTCATAAATAAAACGGAATGTAGTGCTCATGAATGCATATAAATCACTATTCAATAAATGCATATCTACAGCTTTTCAATTCAGTATAACGCTCTCTAGAAAGGAGCCAGGAAGGCAAAAATGTACAGTGACTATATCTGTATTCATATCTGAAAGCTACTTGTATACCTAATTGCTCCTGTAAGTCGCTCTGGATAAGAGCGTCTGCTAAATAACTAAAATGTAAACATATGAGATTTGCCTGATTCTTATTTCAATATGTGCATAAAATGTATATTATTGTAAATGTGAGATTGTTACACTATTTAGAATAACGTTTATGTGGTTAGTTGAGACAACCAGCTATTTCTGCACAAGTGAGTGACATGTTTTTGCCCCCCCCCCCCCCCCAGTCCTTTTGTTTATTGGTTGTACAGCTTGGAAGGCTGCAGCCTGCCTCATCAAGTTGGGATTATTGACTGTCAAACACTTTCAATGGATTTCCCTTCATGTTAACAACTTTTTTTTTTTTTTTTTTTTTTTTAAATGACCATCTTCAGAGGTGTGGAAATGTTCTATCCATTTTATTCAGAAGAAATGTAAATGTATACAAGATTTATTTTTAAAAGGATTTTTTAAAAAGATTGTTAGCTACATTCCTTAAACTTACTGAAATTCACTTCAAGTGTCCGCCAGCTAGAGGTTCTTAATATAATACATGCAAGAATGAACAGAACAGAAAAATAAAAACCCCTTTAATCCCAGTTCCCAGTGTTTAAAGGGGCAGAGCTCCCATTCTTGGTGGCGAGTGCCAGACAGCAGAGCTGGTACGTTTGAAGTAGCGAGGTTTGCTCTTGTAGAAGATGCGGTCCAGCTTTGGCGGTTCAATCTCCCCGTAGTGAGAGTCCACGTCAGCTGGGTGGAAATATTGCTTCATCATAGACTGCTTCAGCTGGTTGCCTAGAGGAGAGGGAAGCACAGGTTTACTTTAGCATCCTGACTGTAAGGCCATGGGTCTTATAGTTGAAAAAGCTGGCACAAAGTGCCATCATGCCTCCAGTCGTTAGCACTAACGGCTAGTTAGCAACAGCTCCATAAACCATCTTCAACTTCCTTCAAACTGCACAGAGACATTTTAAAAAATGGTATCCATGAGTTAATCTAACTCTGGGTATGTAGAAAAAAAAAAAAAAGGGGGCTTGATTGCCAAAATCTCAAACTATCCCTTTAAGAGCACAGTAAAAAGGCATAAAGGAGGCCTTGTGTGGAGATGTGATGCATCATGTGATGCTACGAGGCCTTGTGTGGAGGTGTGATGCTACGAGGCCTTGTGTGGAGTTGTTATGCATCATGTGATGCTACGAGGCCTTGTGTGGAGGTGTTATGCATCATGTGATGCTACGAGGCCTTGTGTGGAGGTGTGATGCTACGAGGCCTTGTGTGGAGTTGTTATGCATCATGTGATGCTACGAGGCCTTGTGTGGAGGTGTTATGCATCATGTGATGCTACGAGGCCTTGTGTGGAGGTGTGATGCTACGAGGCCTTGTGTGGAGTTGTTATGCATCATGTGATGCTACGAGGCCTTGTGTGGAGTTGTTATGCATCATGTGATGCTACGAGGCCTTGTGTGGAGTTGTTATGCATCATGTGATGCTACGAGGCCTTGTGTGGAGATGTGATGCTACGAGGCCTTGTGTGGAGTTGTGATGCTACGAGGCCTTGTGTGGAGATGTGATGCATCATGTGATGCTACGAGGCCTTGTGTGGAGGTGTGATGCTACGAGGCCTTGTGTGGAGATGTGATGCTACGAGGCCTTGTGTGGAGTTGTTATGCATCATGTGATGCTACGAGGCCTTGTGTGGAGTTGTTATGCATCATGTGATGCTACGAGGCCTTGTGTGGAGATGTGATGCTACGAGGCCTTGTGTGGAGATGTGATGCTACGAGGCCTTGTGTGGAGGTGTGATGCTACGAGGCCTTGTGTGGAGGTGTGATGCTACGAGGCCTTGTGTGGAGGTGTGATGCTACGAGGCCTTGTGTGGAGGTGTTATGCATCATGTGATGCTACGAGGCCTTGTGTGGAGGTGTGATGCATCATGTGATGCTACGAGGCCTTGTGTGGAGGTGTTATGCATCACGTGATGCTACGAGGCCTTGTGTGGAGGTGTGATGCTACGAGGCCTTGTGTGGAGGTGTGATGCTACGAGGCCTTGTGTGGAGGTGTGATGCATCACGTGATGCTACGAGGCCTAAGTCAGTAAGTCAAACATACCCTCAGCCCATGTGGGGATGGGTTTCCTCGGTGCGGATTCGTCATCAGTAGAGTCATCACTGTTCTGGTCCATCCCATAGTCCTCAGGGTTGGTGTTGAGAACAACTGGCTTGTTGCCCCCCTTAGGAGTGATCTCATATGACTGGGGAGACTGCTGCAAGGGTAGGAAGACAAAATCGTGGATTACATGCATATGCATTTATCATTTCTTCTTCTCTTAGAATTAACTGACGAGTTGTGCGATTTCTGCACCCAGCTTCATCAACAGTAGAAGTCATATGGTCATGTTGAGAGTGAGTCCTCATCTCCTACAACTGGGGAGAATGCTGCCATTTAGCAGATGCTTTTATCCAAAGCGATTTAGTTATGTTCGCCTACATTTTAAATATGGGTGGCCCCTGGGAATCGAACCCACAATCCTGGCGTTGCAAGCACCATGCTCTACGGACTATGGCTCTAACGAGAGTGTAGTCCATACCTCGATATCCACAGTGACGTTGAGGACTCCTCCCTTCCCTACAGGCGTCTTCATCAACACGGGCTATAGAGGGAACAGGAGAGGTGCAGGATCAGTATACCCCAATGAGACACACAAGACTTTGCATAGATTAGGAAAATCATTACTGACAGCACATATGCCTCAAATCCTTCAGCCCCAAGGGGGAAAAAAGCAAACGTTTACGTTCAAAACAATGACGCGTCATATAACCACAAGTAGCCCCCCCCTCCTCGCTGTTAAGTCATATGTTAGGGCCAATCCCACATCTTCCCCGAAGGTCCGACACCAGGGTTCCCCAAACTGACGGACAACAAAATGTTCATTGTTGGAAATAAGACTGTAGAAACACCAGGAAATCAGCTCCAAGTGATTTACATTTTGGAAATCTGTTCCCAAGTATTCCCACGCATAATATATGTGATTGTATACAAATGTAAAGAAGGTTTGAAATTATTCTGTTTTAGTCAAATATTATATCCATTTGGGCTTCTTGCGGTCAATTTGCACTCTACAAATTATTTGTAATTATGTTCCCCCCCCCCCACCCCCCCGAACATCTCAAGAAAAAAAAAAACACCCGGGGCTGAATCTAGTTGATGATCTCTGCCCTACGCACTTGTGGAGATCGGAGAGAATTTGATTGGTGTAAGCAATATGGTGAAACGTCCACCTATCCTATCCGAGGGCTCCAAGGTGGAGCTACTATCAGATTGATTTCACCTGTCAAAATCGGTTTGGGCCTTAAAGTAGAGGAAGTGTTCTCACCTGAACATCAACAGTGAGGTGGCTCTTAGCAGCAGCAATAGCAGCTGCCTCCCTTTCCCTCTGTCTCTCAGCTTCCCTCTGTCTCTCAGCTTCCCTCTGTCTCTCAGCTTCCCTCTGTCTCTCAGCTTCCCTCTGTCTCTCAGCTTCCCTCTGTCTCTCCTCCTCAGCCTGCCTCTGCTGCTCCTCCTAGTGACACAGAATAAAAACGGGTTTCATTAGCACTTTAACCTACCGTTAACGTTGGCATCGTCTAACGAAAAGTGTACCCGTCAATGTACACAGTCCCCGATATGAACACCTTTTAAAACATGATGTCCAAATCATCTGAAAAGTACCTTCAAACCAAGTCTACACAATGCTTAAGACAGGAACAGTCATGTTAAATGAACGGTTAATCCAAACACCAGTTTGACAGGACAGGACAGGTATGTCTTACCCTCCTCCTCTCCTCCAGCTCCCTCCTCTCCTTCTCCCTGGCAGCTCTCTCCACTTCTCTCTGAAGAGCGCTGGCCTTGTCCCGTTCTGCCCGCTCCCTGAAAACAGACAAGCCTTCTGTCTCCACATCAAACTGTCAAACCAACCAATTCACAGTCCAAAGCTTCGTACATCAACATTACCGATGGCAGGGCCAGTTTGATAGAATTAAAAGGTCAAACTAATTCTTTTTTTTTCCAGCAGTTGTCGCGGTCGTTTCACAGCTGTCGTCTTCCATAAGAAAATAAAACACTTCCATTCATCAATAGTTGACAGGAAACTACCTCTCAGCAGAGGCTTGCCTCTCTCTCTCCAGCTCCCTCTCCTGTTCCTTTTTCAGCTCCAGAGCTCGCCGGGCCTCAGCCATCTTGCGAGTCCTCTCCTGCTCCTCGTCAGCTCTTCTCTTAGCCTGCAGTTCCTGCTGACGCTTCTCCTCCTCCTCCTGGGACACAACAAGGGTCACAAACGTTTAGAAGAAAAAATAAAAAAAACCCCACAAGCACCTTCAAGAGGCACCCAGTTCTACTAGAAAACAAAATGTCTGCCCCCGGGGCTGGTGTAGCGGGAACGCTGCAGTTTGGACATTCATGGGTCAAGAGTGGGTATGGATTCCACCGCTCCTATGGGTGGTATTCTCTCTCCCTCTCAAATATCTGCCTATTAAAAAAAATAAATGATCGTAATAATTATGAAAGTTCAACAAAACAAGGACTGTCTTACAGACTGTTGAATCTTCCTCCTCCTGGCGTCCTCCTCCATCTTCCTCCTCAGTTCCAGCTCCTCCTGGCGTTTGCTGGCCACCTTCTTCTTGGCCTTCTCCTCTGCCATGCGTTCCACTCGCAGCTGGGGAACAGGGGGGGAAAATAGTTTAGCACTTTACACACAGTAGAACAGGATCGTGTTCATTAGGGCACGCCGTAGCAAAACAGTTTGCACGGGGAAAACGAAAAAGGGTTTCCTATTGGACAAGTTCAGATAGTATCTCCCCTTTTCGCTCCGTTTCAAGGAGGTTTGTGCCCAAATGAACACGACCCTTTACGGTAGCTTCACCTCTGCATCAGATGTCGTCCGTCCCTCTTTCATTTCAGTAAAGCCGTGTTTCTCGTCAACATCTCACCTTGTCGTGTTTCTCGTCAATCTGGAGCATCTTCTGCTCAATCTTCTTCTTCTTCTCCTCCTCCCTCTGTTCTTCCTTCACCCGGGCCTCGACCACCCTCCGCAGCCGTTCATCCCTCTTCCTCTTCATCTCCTCCTGTTTTCTCCGCTTCTCTTCCTCCATCTTCTTCTTCCTCTCCTCTTCTTGCTCCTGCTTCTTCTTCAGGGCCTCCAGTTTCAGACGTTCTCTTTCCTAGAACAGAAATACACTCTCTGAGATCAAAAAAAGGTATCCGCTTTCCCTGGTTACATGGCATGACGTTCTCTCTTTACATTCTAGTGGCAACTCATTTTGAGACTGAGTGAAAATCAGGTGTTAGTAATATGTTACATTTGAGGCGAAATGGAAAGGGAGCCCATGAAGAGGGAGTACGATTAACATGAGACTAAAGGCATCAAGGGTGATTTCTGAAATAAAAAAACGCATCTCAAGGGCACCTACACACAGATTCGCAGCATAAAAATAAAATACGACGTCAAGTCCTTGCATTTAAATTTTGGTTTGGCGAGGGGCGAACGTATGTTCTTGCAAAGAGCCGGCAATGCCCTTGTGTGTAGATGACCTTAAACATGTTACGACATACATCGGATCAAACACGGTCTGATCAAACCCCAGCCTTTGTGCCCCTTGGAAACCCAACGTTAACTCACATGGCGTGGCAGGGCAGGGAGGAGGACAAACGGAGTGTACGAACCAAACAACGTTAATTCAGATGGTGTGGCAGGGAGGACAAGTGGCCCGTTAGAGAGCACACACAACTAGTGGAGTAAGAGGAAACCAAACACCCCCCCCACCATATTACTATAATACATACCACTACACCACTGCTTGGCTGTAGAGGGGACAGGGAGAGAGAGAGCCAATTAACCAGGCTGGTTAACATTGTGATTGTTTTTTTTTAAACTTCCTAAATGTTTTTTGGCTCAAAATGATCACAAAACAGGTATGATGTGATCACGACAACATGTGGGATTGGGGATAGGCCTATTTTCTTGATATGAATGGAGGATAATGTCATGAAGGCAGGAATTATTCAGGAAATTAGTAGTGATCTGTAGACTAACCTTGAAGTCTGCTCTGCCTGGCGTGGTGTGTTTGATGAAGGACTTCATGACCGTGTTGCGACCCAGAGAGCTGGGGGTCATCATCAGCATCTGGTTCTTCTGGACCGTGTGGAGGAATGACCTCATGTTGGGCCTCACCTGCAGTATACAACTAACATTAGGGTCTATTCACGGGAAGCAAACTTTACAACGCTTCAGAAAATACACTTAACAGCGCTTCAGAACGTAAAACATACAATGAAAATTTAAAAAAATAATAATAACTTTACAGTGATAAGGCCCACACTTAATATATTCACAGTTTTGGAAGAACTGTTCTGTGCCAGACAATACAATACATTTTCACCACAGCTACTTGTTCTGAAGACAAGCGTGATATGAAGAGACCGTCTGATGTCTTTGGTTCTTACACTCTGGCTCTTCACGGGGGGTGAGGGCTTCTTCCTGGGGCTCTGGAAATCATCTGCGGCCGCTCTGCGCTTGGCACTGAGACGAGGACCCAGACTTGACGGTGGCTTCGTACCACTGCCACCTAGGGAACACAAGCCTGTTAATGCCCCTCTCTCTCTGAAGCATAGCTGTAACCTACTGACGTTACAAGCATGATTCAGAAGACAGGGAGAGATTTTTATGTATGTATGTGGTATGACGCAGCTTCGGTATGCGGTATGATTCAGCTTCGGTATGACGCAGCTTCGGTATGTGTGCCAGTCTTGGCCTTTGCTGATGAGTGTGTGTGGTAATGATGGTCTGTACCTGATCCGGAGTCTGGTGTGCCAGTCTTGGCCTTGCTGATGATCGAGGCTGATGGTGGCATGGTGGGAGTGGTCTGAGCCATGGAGCGGGTGAATCGACGAACCTCCTCAACACTGAGAGCCCCTGGGTGGTTCTGGACCATGTTATCCTGCTCAAATTAACATAAAGATGAGTTTAGACAATCATTTCACTATGATCCATCAATATATTTACATAAGGAACATACAGAATAGTAAAGCTTGACATCAAGTATTAGTCAGGGTTGGGGCCAATTCCATTTCAATTCAGGACGTAAATGAGGAACGTCCTGAATTGGAATTGACCCCAAACCTGATATGAATGTATATTTTAGATAAATGTATCATCCAGGTACAATGCAGATGTTTCCTACCCCAGGAGAAGTCTCAGGAGCTGGGCTGTCAGTCTCAGTCTCAGCAGGCTCCTCTGGCAATACCCTGCCATACACAACAACGTATCAGATACATAATAACCTAGGGTGTATTCATTAGGTCGCACACTGTTGCAAAACGTTTCACAATAGATTTTTTTGTTGTTGTTGTTGGCAACGAAAACAAGTGTTCTATTGAACAAATCCAGGTAGGTTCCCCCTTGGTTTGGTTCCGTTTGGTTCCTAGTGAATACACCCTTGGTGTAGGCTTGGGCGGTATCCAGATTGTCATACCTTGTGCCATACTGGGATATTCGGTAATACCGGCACTGAACTCAAGGGGCGCTATTTTAATCCGAAGGTTAGCAATCCTTACAAGAACATGTAATATCCCGTAGAGAACACTAACTAACTGCTAATGAGCGCATTGCGAACATTTTATAGTCTCTGACCTAAAGTATTTGCAGAACAAACTCAAAGTTATATAAGTAACTCAAATGCAAAACAGTTTTGCTGCACACACAAAACAAATATTAGACAGCAAGGCTCTTGACCCAGGATCGCTGTTACTAAGCGAAACTTGATTTTGGAAGAAGCTAACAACAGCTAGATAGCTAATTAGCAAACCCATGCGCACAACTGCAGAGCATTTGTCACATTTTAGACAGTTAACTTAACGGTTATCTGATATCTAGCTGGCAAACATTTAGTTGTGAATTCCAAACTGTAACTAGATAACCTGGCTGCACAACTACCGGTAAGCTTCATAATGAAAAATAAATGTGACAGGTGAAATGAAGAACGCAATCTTTTTTTAATCTCCTAACATATTGCACACGTTGACTGAAGGTATTTACTTAAAAAGTAGCTACAAATACTCATTTATTTAAAAAAAATAACTTCAAAGAAAGTTTCAACGGTATTGAAAAACCATCCCATGGCTATTTCGAAATACCCCGGTATACTGAATACCGCCCAAGCCTACATGATTCGCATACCAATTACAACAGACGTGTTTATACATTCAGAACAAGACAACGTTTGATTAAAAAGGTAGGCCTAATAATGCCATCGCTCACCCATCCGTCTGCACCTCGACCTCATGTCCATCAGTTTCCATGCACACGTCTTCTACAGCAGACAGACAGACACAAGGCAACACTATCAGTCAATAGCACAGTATATATCGTTAACATTGTCAGGGCGTGATATGGAGAAATAAATTGCACCAACAAAAAAAAAAGGCATGCTCAACTCTTACTAAGTTATGTAGCATAGCAGTAAATGAGTAATCGGACTTATATGAAATAATTATTGGCTAAACGCCAAACCATATTGCTCACATCCACAGGAGGCTGCTGAGGGGAGGACGGCTCATAATAATTCCTGGAATGGAGTCAATGGAATGGAGTCAAACATCAAAAGACGTGGTTTCCATGTGGTGGATACCACTCCATTGACTCCACTCCATTGACTCCATTCCAGGAATTATTATGAGCCGTCCTCCCCTCCGCAGCCGCCACTGCTCACATCACGTAAACTCCATTCAAGGAGTAACGGCAAAATGCCAGGTCACATCCCATCACTCACCAGGCCCGCTGACGTTACTGCTGCAGGTGGAGCTACCCATACGAGCCTTCTTCTTCAGGAAGGATCTCCTGGAGGCTCTGCGGACAGACTCCTGGGTCATGCTGTGTCTCAGCCCTGCCAGGGAGCGCCGCACGGTCAGGGAGTGTCTCACGGAGCTCCGCCTGGGGCCCGGGGGCGTGGTGCCGGCAGCGATGGCTATCTTGGTGGCGGTGCGGCCTGGAGAGTGCTCTGGGTTGGGGTTCATCTGAAGCTCCGCAGAACGCCGCTCTGAGGCTGAGATCTTGACTATGGCTTTAGCTATGTGACTCTGGGTGAGAGGAGGAGGAGGGGGTGTGAGACAGGGGGGCTGGGAGGTGTCTGAGCTGGACTCCCCTCTCTCCCTCTCAGCCTCCTCTGGCTGCATCCTCTCCTCCTGGATTTGTTCGGCTGAAGCCTCATGCTGCGTCTCCTCTGGCTCCTGCTCCAGCTGAAAGGAGGAGGCCTGAGAAGCTCCTTTGCGGGTGCTGAATACGGGTGGTACCGCCTCAGGCTGGGTAGTCTGTTTGGCTCTGCGGGTACGAGGGGGCTTGACTATCTCTTCCACTGTGACCGGAGATCCTCCAACATCCTCTGCTATCAGGTTCAGGGAGGTGGACACAGAGGAGCGACGCAGGTTGCTGCGCTTTCCCTTTGAGAAGCTGCAGGGTTGACAAAGATAGCATTATAGTAGACGTTAGAGAGGAGATAGCATTATAGTAGACGTTAGAGAGGAGATAGCATTAGAGTAGACGTTAGAGAGGAGATAGCATTATAGTAGACGTTAGAGAGGAGATAGCATTAGAGTAGACGTTAGAGAGGAGATAGCATTAGAGTAGACGTTAGAGAGGTGATAGCATTATAGTAGACGTTAGAGAGGAGATAGCATTATAGTAGACGTTAGAGAGGAGATAGCATTAGAGTAGACGTTAGAGAGGAGATAGCATTATAGTAGACGTTAGAGGAGATAGCATTATAGTAGACGTTAGAGAGGAGATAGCATTATAGTAGACGTTAGAGAGGAGATAGCATTATAGTAGACTTCAGAGAGGAGATAGCATTATAGTAGACGTCAGAGAGGAGATAGCATTATAGTAGACGTCAGAGAGGAGATAGCATTATAGTAGACATCAGAGAGGAGATAGCATTATAGTAGACATCAGAGAGGAGATAGCATTATAGTAGACGTCAGAGAGGAGATAGCATTATAGTAGACGTCAGAGAGGAGATAGCATTATAGTAGACGTTAGAGAGGTGATAGCATTATAGTAGACGTTAGAGAGGAGATAGCATTATAGTAGACGTTAGAGAGGAGATAGCATTATAGTAGACATTAGAGAGGAGATAGCATTATAGTAGACGTTAGAAAGGAGATAGCATTATAGAAGACGTTAGAGGAGATCAAACACCTTAACTAGACCGGTCACGCTGCGTGCACGAGCGGTGCAAAATAAATGTACACAAGCATGTTATTGAATCATTTCATCCACATTGCTTGCGGGCGTAAAAAAAGTGTCTGTGTCGCCAAACGCTAAAATAGAACTTGGTTCTATTTGAAACGCTTGACGCGCTGCAAGTCCCGTCTCTCCCATTTCCTCATTGGTTTTCACGAAGATACAAACCCACGGTAGTGCATGAAAGACAGGAGCGGTTGTACTAATATGTCTCATGGCAAATTAACAGAATAACCTACCGTCTCTTGATGCGATTTTCATTTTGACCCACGGACAGACGCTTCCTACGGTTGCTCTTCTTCTGTGATGGAGTCTTTGGCATCAGTTCTGGCTCCGCACTGAAGTCACTGAGATAGGAAGGAAAAGTATTGTGAATATGAATGGCTCTGGGGAGAGAGAAAATAAACCTGAGTATACAAAACATTAAGAACACCTGCTCTTTCCATGACAGACTGACCAGGTGAATCCAGGTGAAAGCTATGATCCCTTATTGATGTCACCTGTTAAATCCACTTCAATCAGTGTAGATGAAGGGGAGGAGACAGGTTTAAGAATTATTTTTTAAAGCCTTGAATTGTGTGTGTGTGCGCCATTCAGAGGGTGAATGGGCAAGACAAAATATTTAAGTGCCTTTGAACGGGGTATGGTAGTAGGTGCCAGGCGCACCGGTTTGTGTCAAGAACTGCAACGCTGCTGGGTTTTTCCACACTCAACAGTTTCCAGCCAACTTGACACAACTGTGGAAAGCATTGGAGTCAACCATTGGCCAGCATCCCTGTGGAACGCTTTCGACACCTTGTAGAGTCCCATGCCGCGACGAATTGAGGTTGTTCTGAGGGCAAAAGGGGGGGGGGGGGGGGGGGGGGGGGTGAAACTCAATATTTGGAAGGTGTTCCTAATGTTTGGTATCCTCAGAGGATATACGGCTCTGAAGAGAAAGGTCAACTGTTGCAGGATGAATCCTTCCTTCTGGCCGTCATTACTTTACAGAATTACAAATTACAGTAGCTACAGATTGTTACACTAGACAATGTGATTTGATTACTGGGAGTTACAGGTTAGGTACTGTTCAGCGTAGGGCTGTCCCCGACAAGGCGCTGCATCGCAGTGCTAGAGGAGGCACTACAGACCAGTGTTCGATCCCGGGCTGTGACGCAGACAGCCGCGACCGGGAGACCCATGAGGTGGCGGCGCACAATCGTCGTCCGGGTTAGGGGAGGGCTTTGGCCGGCTGGGATGTCCTTGCCCCGTCGCACTCTAGCGACTCCTTGTGGCAGCCTGGCGCATGCACGCTGACACGGTCGCCAGCCGTACAGGGTTTCCTCCGACACATTGGTGCGGCTGGCTTCCGGGTTAAGCGAGCAGTGTATCAAGGTGACAAGACTAACCACCAATTGGATATCACGAAATAGGGGAGAAAAAGGGGCAAAAAATATAACAAATATATACCAAAAAAAGGCTTGGCGAGCCCAATTGTTTTCACGTATACTTTTCCATATATACACTATATACACACCATAGGTGTTTTAATCAAATTAACTATTCGCACCGAGCTTGTCTGATGCTTGGTCTAAGGCACTGCATCGCAGTGCTAACTGTGCCACTAGAGATCCTGGTTCGAATCCAGGCTCTGTCGCAGCCGGCCGCGACCGGGAGACTCATGGGCGGCGCACAATTGGCCAAGCGTCGTCCAGGGTAGGGGAGGGAATGGCCGGCAGGGATGTAGCTCAGTTGATAGAGCATGGCGTTTGCAACGCCAGGGTTGTGGGTTCGATTCCCACGGGGGGCCAGTATAAAAAAAAAAATGTATTCACTAACTGTAAGTCGCTCTGGATAAGAGCGTCTGCTAAATGACTAAAAAAATATATATATATATACACAATATTAAATTTTAAAAAATAATACAAATATTCAAAAAATAAAACAAATGCTTTAAGCGCACTGTTTGATAAAATAATTAAGACACACAAATGACTAGGAGTCTGACCGCAATTGATTTGATTGTACCGGGCCTGTGACTAGCACCTGTTGTCTCCCTCCTCCCTGCTGGAGTGACCACCACAGAACAGTGACTGTGACTAGCACCTGTTGTCTCCTTCCTCCCTGCTGGAGTGACCACCACAGAACAGTGACTGTGACTAGCACCTGTTGTCTCCCTCCTCCCTGCTGGAGTGACCACCACAGAACAGTGACTGTGACTAGCACCTGTTGTCTCCTTCCTCCCTGCTGGAGTGACCACCACAGAACAGTGACTGTGACTAGCACCTGTTGTCTCCCTCCTCCCTGCTGGAGTGACCACCACAGAACAGTGACTGTGACTAGCACCTGTTGTCTCCTTCCTCCCTGCTGGAGTGACCACCACAGAACAGTGACTGTGACTAGCACCTGTTGTCTCCCTCCTCCCTGCTGGAGTGACCACCACAGAACAGTGACTGTGACTAGCACCTGTTGTCTCCTTCCTCCCTGCTGGAGTGACCACCACAGAACAGTGACTGTGACTAGCACCTGTTGTCTCCCTCCTCCCTGCTGGAGTGACCACCACAGAACAGTGACTGTGACTAGCACCTGTTGTCTCCCTCCTCCCTGCTGGAGTGACCACCACAGAACAGTGACTGTGACTAGCACCTGTTGTCTCCCTCCTCCCTGCTGGAGCGACCACCACAGAACATCAACAGTGTTCATCGCTCTGTCCGTGTCGCTGAAGCTGCAACATAACTACAGCCATTTCTGACTGAAAAGTTCTGTTACCGAAATCCTTTATTTGTTTAGGAAAAACATTCCCTACGCCCTCAACCCTCGCTCTCTTTAGGCGACATGTAAGCATCGCATGCACCTGACCAAAAGGGCCTGACCTTTAGCATATCATAAATCTCATCAATAAATTGGTTATAACGAACTCCAACACCATAACACGTGACAGCAAAAAGGCTGCGGAGGATGTGACAAACTCGAAACGGGGGAATGTTTACTGGTTGCTCAGGAGGTAAAGGGGAAGGTCAGATGTGTGGAAGAAATTTGACTGGTTGTGGAGAAGTCTATTAAGAACAGCATTTTCTAAATTCAAAAACGCGCCCGCTGCAACTGGACAGCCATTTAAGAAGACACGGGTTTGGCCAGATCGAGAACGAATATTTTTTTTTTTTACAATCGGAAAGTTACGGTTGGTAAAAACGTATCTGTGCTACACAAACACTGCCTAACCTGTAACTCCCAGTAAAGGATACCAAAATTATTTGGTTAAATGTGGTCCTCTGTAGCTCAATTGGTAGAGCGCAGCGCTTGTAACGCCAGGGTAGTGGGTTCGATCCCCGGGACCACCCATATGTAAAAATGTATGCGCACATTACTGTAAGTCACTTTGGATAAAAGCATCTGCTAAATGGCTTATTATATTATTATTATTACATTATCTGGTGTAGCAATCTGAAGCTAAAATTACAGATGAAACTTTCAGGTGATTCAGAGAACAAATAACTTCATGTGTCACTAACCAGGTTTCCATCCAACCTTAAGGGAGCAAAGTGTGTTGGGTAAAAAAATAAAAAAAAATGCCATGACAGGCCTGATGGAAACAGCTAATTTGTGGGTAAACTTTGCAAACATCGACAAAACAAAATAATATTTTGCCCATAATAATCTCATGAAGGCTATACCTGCAGGGCGTTGGCTAGAGCGCACGTTAGCTATATAACAAAAAAAATTTGTGACAAGACCATCAGTAGAGTTGAAAATAAGACTGAAACCAATTAAAAAACATATTTATTTATTCGGTAAATGGGAATTTAAACCGCAAAAGTAAATTTTTATGTGCACTACCTCGCCACACACATTCTTTTATCCGCAACAAGTCAATTTGATGGGATCTGGTGGGAAAAGTTGCACTTTGTTTTTAATGCACATTTCAGAATATTTGGATAAATCTGTCGCCAATTGGATGGAAAGCAAGTTTATGACAATGGTATCTTTTTCCTGTACACTTCAGTCCTCCCACCTTGAGAACATGCGGTTGGCTTCCTGCTGGATCTCCTCGAGCCACACCATGTGGACATTCTCTATTTCGTTGACGAACTCCTGAATCTTCCCATTGAACATCTGCATCAGGGTATGCGTGGAGGACAGTACAGAGGTCATGGTTGCGACCTGGGGAAAATAAGAGGAAAGAATCAAGAGTTTTCAAACGTTTGATAGGATGGTGAAACCTCCCACAAAACTTTTGAACGCTCTAACTAAATTGGCAAGCAGTTACATTTTAACTTTAACTAGGAAGGCCAAAAAACTTCATCAAAACGTTAACATTTTGTACAAGTCGAGACATCTGACACAGGGACACATGCAGGGGGGAAAAAACGAAGTGACACGACAACCATTCCAGAAAATAACTCAAACATTACCTACAAAACAAAAACATAACATTTAACAAAATGTTCATTGACACTTTGCTTGCAGAAACAAAATGGCTAACTAGTTAGCTAACTAGCTACCATTTTTGAATTTTCGAGCTAACCCGCGCATTTCCGCAAACTCAAGTGGACTCGACTATGGTCGTGGATCTTAACTAGCTACATTAGCTAACTACTTAACGTAACTAGTCTCCAGGACAACTTAGTTAGCAGCTAGTCAAATATATATCCTGCAAAGTAAATCAGATAATGTTGAAGAAACAAGATAGCCAGTGTTGTCTTAGCAAACTAGCGAGTTGTTGTTGAGATTTTAAAAGTCACCGTGAAAGATGGCTAGCTAACGTTAGCTAGCTAACGATAGGCAAATAAAACGTACATACCATAAAACTCCTCCGGTTTCGAGAAAAAAAAAAAAAATTTTCGCTTCAATAGCAGTTCACTCTATATTGCAGGTGAATTCAAAAATCTTCATAAAAGCATTAAATAGTCAAATCCGCCATTATCTTTCTCTGCACAACCACAACAACGTAACGTTAGTCCCGACTTTACTTCAACACCCGCTGAAAACCGTTTAAATCGTTCGAAACCGTCTAAGCAAATCAGGGAATGGTTTGTAATGACGTGTCAAGATATGCTCCTCCCACTAACCAATCAATTTTTAAGAGGAAGTGTCGGGGGCGGTACACCCGATTCTATTCATGATTCAAACCGTCCAATCGTAGGAGAGGATTTCTTTGTCCCATGATAGCGCTATTAAGCGTTAACGTCATAAATAAGGTTAACACAGGTTTAGGATATTTTATACATTTTGTTCTAAGATGTAATAGCAGTCAGTTAACATGACCTTTATGAATTATGAAGCCTTTATGTGCTTTATATGTTTTTATTTTATTTTTTATTACATAATTTCTTAAAAATTCACAAAAAGTGACGTTAGCTGATTAAGATTATCTCATGGAACAAAACGTATACCTCCTAAGCCTGTGTTGACCACGTACCTTCATCGTTTATCCAGAAACCCTACAAAAACGCCATTCATTTTTTCCATAGTGTTTTAATACGGACGACAACTTTAGTACGCCATCACTAGCACATTAGAGGCTGCTGCTGCCTATTGAAATCACTGGCCACTTTAAGAAATGGAACACCAGTCACTTTAATAATTACATTTACATTTTAGTCATTTAGCAGACGCTCTTATCCAGAGCGACTTACAGTTAGTGAATACATATTTTTTTTATACTGGCCCCCCGTGGGAATCGAACCCACAACCCTGGCGTTGCAAACGCCATGCTCTATCAACTGAGCTACATCCCTGCCGGCCATTCCCTCCCCTACCGTGGACGACGCTGGGCCAATTGTGCGCCGCCCATGAGTCTCCCGGTCGCGGCCGGCTGCGCCAGAGCCTGGATTCGAACCAGGATCTAGTGGCACAGTTAGCACTGCGATGCAGTGCCTTAGACCACTGCGCCACTCAGGAGTTCATGATAATGTTTCCATATCTTGCACTACTCATCTCATATGTATATACTGCATTCTATTCTATAATATTCTACTGTATTTTAGTCCATGCCGCTCTGTCATTGCTTGTCCATATATGTATATATTCTTAAATTCCATTCCTTACTAGTTTTTGTGTGTATTGGGTATATGTTGTGAAATTGTTAGATATTACTTGTTAGATATTACTGCACTGTCGGAGCTAGAAGCACAAGCATTTCGCTACACCCGCAATAACATCTGCTAAACACGTGTATGTGACAAAAATAAAATTCGCTTGGCCCTCGATGATGTCATGTAGGTTGATATGTTTGATGTCATGTAGGTTGATACATAGCTATGTTTTCATGTATAAAGCCCTTTTACAAAAAGTCCCACTGTACATAACATCATTACTAAACTTCAGACAAACGAGTTACCGCACCCTGTCTCAAGGATGGCTAACTCCGGAAATTCCTTTGATCTTAGTTAGGTAAATCAGTTTTTAGTTTTTTTGCACCTTATCTGTGTAACAATCTTCAAAATGTTCTTAAATTCGATGTTCTGGTGCCTCTAGGCCAATTCAGAAAGCTGATTGAGGACCTTTTTATTGATGAATGTCTTTGTTTTTTATTACGTTTTTTTCTTTCTTTCTTTCTGCTTGCATTTTGTATTTTTATCTTGATGTGTGTATTTTCTGTAAATCAGGGCACGTCTGTAAAAGACACCTTGGTCTCAGTATGAATCCCTGATAAAATAAAGGTTAAATAAATAGACGTTGTCCAACGAACCATGGAGGAGTTAGTGCCTACAAAAAGACGCCATTACTATTTATCTCTATTGGCGTCTTTTTGTAGGCACTAACCCCGCCTTAAAGCACATAAAGACTTTATAATTCATAAAGGTCATGTTAACGGACTTATATTATCTCATAGAACTAAACGTATAAGATCTCATAAGCCTTGTGTTAACCTCAGACCTTATTTTCGGCGTTTATCCCAAAACCCAATATTTTTCTGTGGAATTGTAATTGTTGGACATAAAATACTGTAAATAAAACCACCAGTAAATCAGCTCCAAGTGATTTTAATTTAAGAAATCTGTTCCCAAGTATTCCCATGCATAATAGAGACACGATGTGATCGTATACAAATGTAAACAAGGTTTGAAATGATTATGTTTTAGTTAAACATTATATCTGTTTGGATTCTTGCGGTCAATTTGTAGTCTAAAAAATTATTTGTAATTATGTTCCGGCCCCCGACCATCTGCTCAAGACAAAATCGGCCTGTGGCTGAATCTAGTTGATGATCCCTGCTCTTTAGTAAACTGTAGGCTATATATAACAATCTTTGTCTCTTTGATGTTATTCATATAGCAGCAAATCTAATATTATTCATATAGTGTCATGAAGTCTAAGCATGTTTAGGGAGTAAGACTCGGGAAAATGTTTTCTTTATGTTTATCACAGTTGAAGAAAACAAACTCTCCTTTTACAAGCCCATGCAACAAAAATTGAGGAAATGCAGCTTTGGTTTTTGTTTGAGGTCCGCTAAGATAAAGACCCAAAGCCTAGGTGGGTTGAAATATTTGGTATGGATGGTCAAACAAATTACAATCACAAGTTCTTCTTTCATTTTCCAATGAGTGCTGCAAGACGTTTTGATGAAAAAGAGCACTCACGAAAAGTAAATATTGTCATAACAAATGTATATTTTATTGCAGCTTAAGTATACTAGTATAAAAAGGCATTTGATCCATCTCTACACACATACAGTACATTTACATTTACATTTTAGTCATTTACCAGACGCTCTTATCCAGAGCGACTTACAGTTAGTGAATGCATACATGTTATTTTTATTTTTTATTTTTTCATACTGGCCCCCCGTGGGAAACAAACCCACATCCCTGCCGGCCAAACCCTCCCCTACCTTGGACGACGCTGGACCAATTGTGCGCCGCCCCATGGGTCTCCCGGTCGCGGCCGGCTGCGACAGAGCCTGGACTCGAACCAGGATCTCTAGTGGCACAGCTAGCACTGCGATGCAGTGCCTTAGACCACTGCGCCACTCGGGAGATGTGAATGACAAATCAAGTAAGTCACACTAAATACATGGTTTAAGCACAATAGATGAAATCCTTGTTATACATAGAAAATCATTTCCAGTGCATGAATAAACCAGGAATAAACACCCTATTCCATATATTGTGTATTACATTTGACCAGAGCCCGATGGGCTATGGGCCCTGCGATAGACTAGCGTCCTTTCCAGGGGGCGGAGCTGTACGTCAAGCTGCCTCAAGCTACAGAAACAGGAGACAGGCTCCTGCCTTATGGGCCATTCCGGCTCAAACGACGCTACTTCCTTTATAAAGGGAATAGGGTACCATTTGGGACTGACTTCATGACATATAGGTTCAGTGCCTTCAGGAAAGTATTCACAACCCTTAACCTTTTCCACATGTTGTGTTACAGCCTGAATTTTAAATGGAATAAATTGAGATTTTGTGTCACTGATCTACACACAATACCCCATAATGTCAAAGTGGAATTATGTTACCAGGGAGGTTTTCCAATGGTTCGCAATGAAGGGTATTGGCAGATGGGTAAGAAAGAAAGAAAAGCAGACATTGATTATCCCTTTGAGCATGGTGAAGTTATTAATTACACTTTGGATAGTGTATCAATACACCCAGTCACTACAAAAAATACAGGCGTCCTTCCTAACTCAGTTGCCAGAGAGGAAGGAAACCGCTCAGGGATTTCACCATGAAGCCAATGGTGACTTTAAAACTGTTACAGTTTTAGAAGAAAACATTGATAGAAGAAAAAGGAGGATGGATCAACAACATTGTAGTTATTCCACAATACTAACTTAATTGACAGAGTGAAAAGAAGGAAACCTGTACAGAATAAACAATTTCCAAAAAATGCATCCTGTTTGCAACAAGGCAATAAAGCAATACTGCAAAAAAATTGGCAAATAAATTATGTTTAGGGCAAATTCAACACATCACTGAGTACCACTCTTCATATTTTCAAGCATAGTGGTGGCTGCATCATGTTATGGGTATGCTTGTCATCGGCAAGGACTAGTGAGTTTTTTTTGGATAAAATGAAACGGAATAGAGCTAATCACAGGAAAAATCCTAGAGGAAAACTTGGTTCAGTCTGCAAATATACACTGGAGTTGCTTACCAAGACCACATTGAATGTTACTGAGTGGCCTAGTTACAGTTTTGACTTAAATCGCCATGTAAATCTATGGCAAGACTTGAAAATGGCCATCTAGCAATGATCAACAACCAACTTAAATAAATAAATAAATAATTGGTCATTTAGCAGACGCTCTTATCCAGAGCGACTTACAACTTGACAGCGCTTGAAGAATTTTTGAAGAATAATGGGACAATATTGTACAATCCAGGCGTGCAAAGCTTTAGCGACTTACCCAGAAAGACTCACTGCTGTAATCGCTGCCAAAGGTGATTGTAACGTGTTGACCCAGGGGGTTGAATACTTATCTAGTCAAGATATATAAGTGTTTATTTTGTGTAGATCGTTTACTTAAAAAAAAAAAAAAGACAATTCAATCCATTTTAATCCCACTTTGTAACACAACAAAATGTGGTAAAAGTCAAGGGGTGTGAATACTTTCTGAAGGCACTGTTGATAGAAGGCAATAGGGTTTGACAGGGATGGTCCTCACATGGGCCAGCAGGATAGGGCACCATCCACTTTACAGATGGTTCCGGACTCCCGTGGGAAAGTCACTGGTTTTCCTGAGGAAACAAAGAAACACAATGACCTTTATTTATTATCATATCAAATATGTGTATGTATTAACCAGGTGTCATAACCAGCCATAAAATAATGCAATATATATGTCACAAAAGGTCTAAATATATGTGTCATGACAGCTGTTATGACCATATTATGACAGGTTATGACAGCTGTTATGACATATTATGACATGGTTATGACCGTTTCATAACATGTTATGACGCTAGGTTTCAAGTAAAGTGTTACTGATTTTTTCCTAACCCTAAAACAACGATAAAATCTGAATCTGTGTGCATGATTCAGATTTTGTGTGCATAACATGATTGATTTCAACACAATAATGATAACTTTATTATAATATCTATACAGTATTTAATTATAACTTTACTTTAATATCCATACAGTATTTGAAGGCTCACTTTCAGCATTTGTGAGTTGGGATAGAGTAAAATCAAATGGTATAGAATAGAATAGAGTTTTACCTGCTATAAGAGGAATCTTGGTCCCGGAGTTCTTGAGGACCACCTGCAGAGCGCAGGGTTCGGTGTTCCCAGCATGCTTTGCTTCCTCTCTCAGTATGATGTAAACTTCCTGTCCCCTCACCAGCCAGTCCATCTTGTTGCCCAGGTAACTGACACCCCGGATACACAGCTGAGTGATGTCATCAGGGATGAGAGGGGTGAAGGCCAGACAATCCTTCTGTACTCTGAGAAGGAAAAAAGGAAAAAGAGTGTAAGTGTCCATCCTGCAGATCTTCGCACTGAGGAGCTCATTGTTGTCTTATGTCCCAATGGTTAAAGACGTGGGGTTAAAGGCGTGGGGTTAAATGCGTGGGGTTAAAGGCGTGGGGTTAAAGGCGTGGGGTTAAAGACGTGGGGTTAAAGGCGTGGGGTTAAAGGCGTGGGGTTAAAGGCGTGGGGTTAAAGGCGTGGGGTTAAAGACGTGGGGTTAAAGACGTGGGGTTAAAGACGTGGGGTTAAAGACGTGGGGTTAAAGGCGTGGGGTTAAAGGGGTGGGGTTAAAGACGTGGGGTTAAAGATGTGGGGTTAAAGACGTGGGGTTAAAGGCATGGGGTTAAAGGGGTGGGGTTAAAGGCGTGGGGTTAAAGATGTGGGGTTAAAGATGTGGGGTTAAAGACGTGGGGTTAAAGACGTGGGGTTAAAGGCGTGGGGTTAAAGACGTGGGGTTAAAGACGTGGGGTTAAAGGCGTGGGGTTAAAGGGGTTAAAGGCGTGGGGTTAAAGACGTGGGGTTAAAGGGGTGGGGTTAAAGGCATGGGGTTAACGGGGCGGGTTAAAGATGTGGGGTTAAAGGCGTGAGGTTAAAGACGTGGGGTTAAAGGCGTGGGGTTAAAGACGTGGGGTTAAAGACGTGGGGTTAAAGGGGTTAAAGACGTGGGGTTAAAGACGTGGGGTTAAAGGCGTGGGGTTAAAGGCGTGAGGTTAAAGACGTGGGGTTAAAGGCGTGGGGTTAAAGGCGTGGGGTTAAAGACGTGGGGTTAAAGACGTGGGGTTAAAGACGTGGGGTTAAAGACATGGGGTTAAAGACATGCTCTGGTACTTTGGACACTAAGAAAGTATTGTTTAAACCTTTGGGCTGATGTGTCAATGTGTAGATCATTCATTCATAATCTATGAGCAGAATTACTGTCTAACCTCAATTAGCCACGAAATCCCTAGTTTGAAAGCGACTGTTTTCTTGATGCTATGCTGCACGATTTCCCCTACACTTCCCCCCACGTGGGCCAGCCCCCTAGCAATTGGAGTTCTATCCAATGAGCTTCAGCCCCTCGCATTTGAGTGACAACTAGCAAGAGGCCTGCCCAGCGTTATCCAATGAGGTTGCAGGGCAGGCCCAACGGCTCAGTCGACGAAGAGAGAGAAAGAGAGGGAGAGAGAGAGAGAGAGAAATGACGTGGTGCACATACTGTATTTGCACCTATGTGACATGGTACGCAATTGTCGGGGACCACTTTTGGCTCGTGAGTGCTACTTTCAGAACTACTGTCTAAAAAGTATACAAAAGTACCGGAGAATGTCTTTAAGAAAGTAAGTAGGTACATATAATTTTATAGCAGAATACAAGGGTAATGTACATCTTTTGATGCCACTGTATGACAGTTTGGTTTCAAGCCAGGTGATGTGTATGGTGGTGGATATAACTGACCTGAATCCAGTGTAACCAAACAGTACAGCCTGCAGGAATCCTCCCATACCAGTGAGAAAGTTCACCGCCCCAGAACCATCAGATGATTCACTCCATACCTGAAAGAGAGACATTAATGTGACACATACTGTGTGTGTGTGTATGTGTGTGTGTGTACAGTCGTGGTCAAAAGTTTTGAGAATGACACAAATACTAATTTTCACAAAGTCTGCTGCCTCCGTTTTGATGATGGCAATTTGCATATACTCCAGAATGTTATGAAGAGTGATCAGATTAATTGCAAAGTCCCTATTTGCCATGAAAATGAACTTAATCCCCCCACAAAATTTCCACTGCATTTCAGCCCTGCCACTAAAGGGACCAGCTGCCATCATGTCAGTGATTCTCTCGTTAACACAGGTGAGAGTGTTGACGAGGACAAGGCTGGAGATCACTCTGTCATGCTGATTGAGTTAGAATAACAGACTGGAAGCTTTAAAAGGAGGGTGGTGCTTGAAATCATTGTTCTTCCTCTGTTAACCATGGTTGCCTGCAAGGAAACACGTGCCGTTATCATTGCTTTGCACAAAAAGGGCTTCACAGGCAAGGATATTGCTGCTAGTAAGATTGCACCTAAATCAACAATTTATCGGATCATCAAGAACTTCAAGGAGAGAGGTTGAATTGTTGTGAAGAAGGCGTCAGGGCGCCCAAGAAAGTCCAGCAAGCGCCAGGACCGTCTCCTAAACTTGATTCAGCTGCGGGATCGGGGCACCACCAGTGCAGAGCTTGCTCAGGAATGGCAGCGGCATGTGTGAGTGCATCTGCTCGCACAGTGAGGCAAAGACTTTTGGAGGATGGCCTGGTGTCAAGAAGGGCAGCAAAGAAGCCACTTCTCTCCAGGAAAAACATCAGGGACAGACTGATATTCTGCAAAAGGTACAGGGATTGGACTGCTGAGGACTTCCGATTGTTTGGGGCATCCGGAAAACACCTTGTCCGGAGAAGACAAGGTGCGCGCTACCATCAGTCCTGTGTCATGCCAACAGTAAAGCATCCTGAGACCATTCATGTGTGGGGTTGCTTCTCAGCCAAGGGAGTGGGCTCCCTCACAATTTTGCCTAAGAACACAGCCATGAATAAAGAATGGTACCAACACATCCTCTGAGAGCAACTTCTCCCAATCATCCAAGAACAGTTTGGTGACGACCAATACCTTTTCCAGCATGATGGAGCACCTTGCCATAAGGCAAAAGTGTTAACTAAGTGGCTCGGGGAACAAAACATCGACATTTTGGGTCCATGGCCAGGAAACTCCCCAGACCTTAATCCCATTGAGAACTTGTGGTCAAGAAGAAGGGTCAACACTGCAAATATTGACTCTTTGCATAAACTTAATGTAATTGTCAATAAAAGCCTTTGACACTTGTAATTATACTTCAGTATACCATAGTAACATCTGACAAATATCTCATAACACTGAAGCAGCGAACTTTGTGAAGACCAATACTTGTGTCATTCTCAAAACCACGACTGTGTGTGTGTCTGTGCGTGCGTGTGTGAGAGAGAGAGAGAGCGTTTTCCCATTCTGACCTGGAATGGTCCCTGGATGTTTTTGAAACACTTCTGGAGTAGATTCCTCGCCTTCTCTACCTCCCCCAGCTCCAGCCAGCCCACTGCAAACATGCCCTGGCAGAATACAGAGACAAACACACTTCAAAATGGGCTTCTACATCCCCAACTAGGTCAAACTCGTATTTTATTTTATCTTTTTGTTACTCCCTTTTTCACCCCAATTTCGTGATTACGATCTTGTCTTATCGCTGTAACTTCCCAACGGGCTCGGGAGAGGCGAAGGTTCGAGTCATGCGTCCTACGAAACGTGACCCGCCAAGCAGCGCTTCTTAACACCCGCTCGCTTAACCCGGAAGCCAGCTGCACCAATGTGTCGGAGGAAACACCGTTCAACTAACGACCAAAGTCAGCCTGCAGGCGCCCGGCCCGCCACAAGGAGTCGCTAGAGTGCGATGAGGCAAGTAAAGCCCCCCAGCCAAACCTTCCCCTAACCTGGACGATGCTGGGCCAATTGTGCGCCGCCCTATAGGATTCCCTGGTCACGGCCGGTTGTGACACAGCCTGGGATAAAACCACAGGCTGTAGTGACGCCACAATACTGTGATGCAGTGCCTTAGACCGCCACTCGGGAGGCCGGTAAAGCTCTTCTACATCCCCAACTAGGTCAAACTCTTCTACATCCAACTGAGTAACACTATTCTACATCCAACTGAGTAACACTCTTCTACATCCAACTGAGTAACACTCTTCTACATCCAACTGAGTAACACTCTTCTACATCCAACTGAGTAACACTCTTCTACATCCAACTGAGTAACACTCTTCTATATCCAACTGAGAAACACTCTTCTACATCCAACTGAGTAACACTCTTCTACATCCAACTGAGTAACACCCTTCTACATCCAACTGAGTAACACTCTTCTACATCCAACTGAGTAACACTCTTCTACATCCAACTGAGTAACACTCTTCTACATCCAACTGAGTAACACCCTTCTACATCCAACTGAGTAACACTCTTCTACATCCAACTGAGTAACACTCTTCTACATCCAACTCAGAAACATTCTTCTACATCCAACTGAGTAACACTCTTCTATATCCAACTGAGTTACACTCTTCTACATCCCCAACTGAGTAACACTCATCTACATCCAACTGAGTAACACTCTTCTACATCCAACTGAGTAACACTCTTCTACATCCAACTGAGTAACACTCTTCTACATCCAACTGAGTAACACTCTTCTAGCGGAAGTACCAGTAAGGATTTCAGAACACATTCATAATACACACATACTGCATTCATAAGTAGTAGAAAATAAATGCTTATGTACTGCTTACGAATGTATGGGTTATGTGTGCGTTATGATGTGTTATAAAGTCCTTTTGTAGGTAGGTACCCTTCATCAGTACAGTTGATACATTGATCCTTTCTTGGCAGTGCATGGTAGTATCACTATGTAACGTACCCAAGTCATAGCTGGTCCACCGGGGTCTGTAACAGCCTCGTAGAACTCCAGGTCATTTCTCCTGACCTCAGGGGTCATAGGGAGACCCAGGGGATATCCTAGCATCACTGTGTCAGCCTGCTTCACAAATTGTCCTGGGAGAAGGTCAAATAAAGCGGAGACTCAATGATACTGTATGTTTTGCATGTCCTTATTACTGAAATGACTGGATCAGTTTGATTTGATATTAGACCTTTTTTTGCTTTAACACACATAGAAAAAGAGCTATGCATACCAATGCTCTCCTGTTGGTTAAGGGCTGTAAGTAAGCATTTCACTGTAATGTCTGAACCTGTTGTATTCGGCGCATGTGGCCAATAAAATTTGATTTGATTTGATTTGATTTGGTATGCATATGGTAAAGCAAAGCAACTAAGTCAACTGGGCAGTGGGCAAGACTCGCCTTTTTTGTAGCCGTCATATTCAGGATGGTATTTCTGCTTCTGGTCGAAGGGGATTTTGATTTTCTCTGCTACCTGCTGCCACTCCCGCGGGGCAGGGTACTTCAGGAGGGCAGCCAACTCCACAGCAAATTCAAGACTGGGGAAGAGATGAGAAAGAAAGTAGTTGATGTTACTAGATTCACAATGTTTTCCATAGACTTAAAAAGGAGCGCTTCCGCTTCTTACCCTGAAAGCCTGGATTTGGAACGACGATGGCTTCCAAATGAATAAGGTCTATTGAAAATAACGTGAGATTGTGAAATACCTGAGGGGGTATCCTAGCCTGCTGAATTTGCCAGATAACTTTTCTTTCATTTCGGCACAAATGAAAATGTGTCACTGACACGCCCATGGATTGATGTTTTAGCATCGTCTCAGTGAAGAGTTTCGGCGTTCACCTAGCCATGTGCGACATGCATGCGCAGTTACAAGACTGTTAAAGTTGGCAGCAGGCTGACGAGCAATATCCAGCGACGTTGTACGGATGAAGCCTGAGCTGGAATGTGAAGCTAACTGAAGCTGGTTACTGTTAGAAAAGTCTGAGTAGATCTACAGTGCATTCGGAAAGTATTTAGACCCCTGGACTTTTTCCACATATTGTTACATTACAGCTTTATTCTAAAATTGATTAAATTGTTTTTTTTTCCCTTCATCAATCTACACACAATACCCCATAATGACAAAGCAAAAACCGTTTTTTTTGATATTTTTGCAAATGTTTAAAAAACGGAAATATTACATTTACATAAGTATTCAGAACCCTTTACTCAGTACTTTGTTGAAGCACCTTTGGCACTGATTACAGCCTCGGTCTTCTTGGGTAAGACGCTACAAGCTTGGCACACCAGTATTTGGGGAGTTTCTCCCATTCTTCTCTGCAGATCCTATCAAGCTCTGTCAGGTTGGATGGGGAGCGTCGCTGCACAGCTATTTTCAGGTCTCTACAGAGATGTTCGATCAGGTTCAAGTCCGGGCTCCGGCCGGGCCACTCAAGGACATTCAGAGACCTGTCCCGAAGCAACTCCTGCGTTTTCTTGGCTGTGTGCTTAGGGTCGTTGTCCCTGTTGGAAGGTGAACCTTCGCCCCAGTCTGAGGTCCTGAGCACTCTGGAGCAGGTTTTCATCATGGATCTCTCTGCTCCGTTCATCTTTCCCTTGATCCTGACTAGTCTCCCAGTCCCTGCCGCTGAAAAACATCCCCACAGCATGATGCTGCCACCACCATGCTTCACCGTAGGGATGGTGCCAGGTTTCCTCCAGACGTGATACTTGGCATTCAGGCCAAAGAGTTCAATCTTGGTTTCATCAGACTAGAGAATCTTGTTTCTCATGGTCTGAGTCCTTTAGGTGTGTTTTGGCAAACTCCAAGCGGGCTGTCATGTGCCTTTTACTGAGGAGTGGCTTCCGTCTGGCCACTCTTCCATAAAGGCCTGATTGGTGGAGTGCTGCAGAGATGGTTGTCCTTCTGGAAGGTTCTCGCATCTCCACAGAGGAACCCTGGAGCTCTGTCAGAGTGACCATCGGGTTCTTGGTCACCTCCCTGACCAAGTCCCTTCTCCCCCGATTGCTCAGTTTGGCCGGGCGGCCAGCTCTAGGAAGAGTCTTGGTGGTTCCAAACTTCTTCCATTTAAGAATCATGGAGGCCACTGTGTTCTTGGGGACCTTCAATGCTGCAGACATTTGTTGGTACCCTTCCCCTTATCTGTGCCTCAACAAAATCCTGTCTCGGAGCTCTATGGACAATTCCTTCGACCTCATGGCTTGGTTTTTGCTCGGACATGCACTGTCAACTGTGGGACCTTATATACAAAGTATTTGATCCCCTGCTGATTTTGTATGTTTGCCCACTGACAAAGAAATAATCAGTCTATAATTTTAATGGTAGGTTTTGACAGTTTAGAGACAATAACAACAAAAAATCCAGAAAAACGCATGTCAAAATTTTTATAAATTGATTTGCATTTTAATGAGGGAAATTAGTATTTGACCCCCTCTCAATCAGAAAGATTTCTGGCTCCCAGGTGTCTTTTATACAGGTAACGAGCTGAGATTAGGAGCACACTCTTAAAGTGAGTGCTCCTAATCTCAGCTTGTTTCCTGTATAAAAGACACCTGTCCACAGAAGCAATCAATCAATCAGATTCCAAACTCTCCACCATGGCCAAGACCAAAGAGCTCTCCAAGGATGTCAGGGACAAGATTGTAGACCTACACAAGGCTGGAATGGGCTACAAGACCATCGCCAAGCAGCTTGGTGAGAAGGTGACAACAGTTGGTGTGATTATTCGCAAATGGAAGAAACACAAAAGAACTGTCAATCTCCCTCGGCCTGGGGCTCCATGCAAGATCTCACCTCGTGGAGTTGCAATGATCATGAGAACGGTGAGGAATCAGCCCAGAACTACACGGGAGGATCTTGTCAATGATCTCAAGGCAGCTGGGACCATAGTCACCAAGAAAACAATTGGTAACACACTACGCCGTGAAGGACTGAAATCCTGCAGCGCCCGCAAGGTCCCCCTGCTCAAGAAAGCACATATACATGCCCGTCTGAAGTTTGCCAATGAACATCTGAATAATTCAGAGGAGAACTGGGTGAAAGTATTGTGGTCAGATGAGACCAAAATGGAGCTCTTTGGCATCAACTCAACTCACCGTGTTTGGAGGAGGAGGAATGCTGCCTATGACCCCAAGAACACCATCCCCACCGTCAAACATGGAGGTGGCAACATTATGCTTTGGGGGTGTTTTTCTGCTAAGGGGACAGGACAACTTCACCGCATCAAAGGGACGATGGACGGGGCCATGTACCGTCAAATCTTGGGTGAGAACCTCCTTCCCTCAGCCAGGGCATTGAAAATGGGTCGTGGATGGGGATTCCAGCATGACAATGACCCAAAATACACGGCCAAGGCAACAAAGGAGTGGCTCAAGAAGAAGCACATTAAGGTCCTGGAGTGGCCTAGCCAGTCTCCAGACCTTAATCCCATAGAAAATCTGTGGAGGGAGCTGAAGGTTCGAGTTGCCAAACATCAGCCTCGAAACCTTAATGACTTGGAGAAGATCTGCAAAGAGGAGTGGGACAAAATCCCTCCTGAAATGTGTGCAAACCTGGTGGCCAACTACAAGAAACGTCTGACCTCTGTGATTGCCAACAAGGGTTTTGCCTCCAAGTACTAAGTCATGTTTTGCAGAGGGGTCAAATACTTATTTCCCTCATTAAAATGCAAATCAATTTATAACATGTTTGACATGCGTTTTTCTGGATTATTTTGTTGTTATTCCGTCTCTCACTGTTCAAATAAACCTACTATTAAAATTATAGACTGATCATGTCTTTGTCAGTGGGCAAACGTACAACATCAGCAGGGGATCAAATACTTTTTTCCCTCACTGTAGACAGGTACAATCAATTGAATTTACCACAGGTGGACTCCAATCAAGTTGTAGAAACATCTCAAGGATGATCAATGGAAACAGGATGCACCTGAGCTCAATTTCGAGTCTCATAGCAAAGGGTCTGAATACTTATGTAAATAAGGTATTTCTGTTTTTTTTTTTTAACTAAATTAGCAAACATTTCTAAAAACCTGTTTTCGCTTTGTCATTATGGGGTATTGTGTGTAGATTGATGAAGATTTTTATTGATTTAATCCACTTTAGAATAAGGCTGTAACGTAACAAAATGGGGAAAAAGTCAAGGGGTCTGAATACTTTCTGAACACTCTGCAGCTAGCTTCGTAGGATACCCCTCGGGTGTGTTACATACCTGAATTTGGCCACAGTGTTTGTGTACACTGAGTTGTTGACGTTGTAGTAATATTCATCGGGAGGCATGACACCTGACAGAAAACAGAGATACTTTGGTAAATGTCTTGTTTACTCGTGTTTACTCAAGCAACAGGGTTGCTACGACCACTAGCCAAATAGCTTACCTAGTCTGCATGACAATTAAATCAGTTGCAATTCATTTACATTTAAGTCATTTAGCAGACGCTCTTATCCAGAGTGATTTACAGTTAGTGCCTTCATTTTAAGATGGCTAGGTGAGATAACCACAGGGGAGACAACCACATACCACAGTCATAGTAACAGTAAAAAAATTCCTCAAACTAGCTATCATTAAAGTTAGTGCTAGCAATAAGCTGACATCGGCTGGCATGACTATTTCTAAGATGTGTAATGACAATATGTTTACTGAATGTCCCTTTACCTAAGATGTGGTAGTTCTGTTCTTCAGCGCTCCAGGTTACCCTGGAAACCCAGTAATCAGCCACGCCCCAAATCACTTCGCTGCCACGCCCCTCTGTGAACATAGACAGGTCCTAGAACAGACAGACAGGTCGCAGGTCTTTAAAGTGTGGGTAATATGGTGGAAACAGTCACCACTACATTGCTAATACCTATGCCTACCTTTCAGATCAGAAAAAAACCAAAGGGTTAGGCCTAAGGGGAGGCGCTAGGGAGCCGGCTGTGAGTGAGGATGACTGACCTAGATGTGTGTGAAGTGTTGTGTTTAGGGTAGGTTTACCTGTTAGGTACCTGTGTGAGGTAAGTAGTTGGGGTTAGGTGTTACCTGTGTGAGGTAAGGTAGTGTGGGGTTGGTGTTACCTAGGTAGTGTTGGGTTAGGTGTTACCTGTGTGCGGTAGTGTTGAGCCTGTGGCTGTAGTAGTGTTGGGTAGTTGGTGTTACTGTGAAGGTAAGTGTTGTAGGGTAGTGTTACCTGTGTAAGGTAGGTTGGGGTTAGGTTCCTGTGTGAGGTAGATGTTGGGTTGTTGTTACTTGTAAGGTCAGTTTGGTAGGTCGTTATCCGGTGAGGTTAAGGTTAGTGTTGGTATTTAATGTGTAGGTAGTAGTGGGTTAGGTCCACAGTGAGGTAGTTGGGGTAAGGTAAACCTCATGTAGTAGTGTGAGGTTAGTGTACCTGTAGTAGTAAGGTGTTGGGGTTAGGTTTCCTGATGTGTAGGAAAGGTAGTTTGGGTGTGTGTTACCTGAAGAATGTTGGGGTAGGTGTTACCTGTGTGAGGTGAGGTAGTGTGGGTTAGGTGTTACCTGGTGAGTAGAGTAGTGTTGGTTAGGTCTTACTGTGCAAGGTGTCTGTTGGTTAGGTGTACTGGTGTGAGTACGAGGTAGGTTGGGTTAGGTGTTCCTGTTGAGTAGTGTGGGTTAGGTGTTACCTGTTGCAGGACTAGAGGTAATGTTGGTGTTAGTGTAAACCATGGTGTAGGTAGAGGTGTGTTGGGGTTAGGTGTTACCGTGTGAGTAGAGGTATGTGGGGTAGGTGTATACCTGTGTGAGGTAGTGTTGGGGTTAGGTGTTACCTGTGTGAGGTAGAGTGGTTGGGTTAGGTGTTACCTGTGTGAGAGGTAGATGGTAGTGTTGGGTTAGGTGTTACCTGTGTGAGGTAGAGGTAGTGTTGGGGTTAGGTGTTACCTGTGTGAGGTATTGTTGGGGTTAGGTGTTACCTGTGTGAGGTAGAGGTAATGTTGGTGTTAGGTGTTACCTGTGTGAGGTAGAGGTAGTGTTGGGGTTAGGTGTTACCTGTGTGAGGTAGAGGTAGTGTTGGGGTTAGGTGTTACCTGTGTGAGGTAGTGTTGGGGTTAGGTGTTACCTGTGTGAGGTAGAGGTAGTGTTGGGGTTAGGTGTTACCTGTGTGAGGTAGTGTTGGGGTTAGGTGTTACCTGTGTGAGGTAGAGGTAGTGTTGGGGTTAGGTGTTACCCTGGTGTGAGGTAGTGTTGGGGTTAGGTGTTACCTGTGTAAGGTAGAGGTAGTGTTGGGGTTAGGTGTTACCTGTGTGAGGTAGAGGTAGTGTTGGGGGTTAGGTGTTACCTGTGTGAGGTAGAGGTAGTGTTGGGGTTAGGTGTTACCTGTGTGAGGTAGAGGTAGTGTTGGGGTTAGGTGTTACCTGTGTGAGGTAGTGTTGGGGTTAGGTGTTACCTGTGTAAGGTAGAGATAGTGTTGGGGTTAGGTGTTACCTGTGTGAGGTAGAGTTGGGGTTAGGTGTTACCTGTGTGAGGTAGAGGTAGTGTTGGAAGGCCAGAGTAACGTCTCCGTTGATGTGGATCTCTTGTTGTCCGTATATATCTTCAGGACACACCTCTCTCCCTGACACAGCACTCTCCCACGGGAACTTTAGTCCCTGGTAGGACAACATAATATCTCTTTCATCAGAACAGAACACACTGACCCACATACACTACACTACACTACACTACACTACACTACACTACACTACACTACACTACACTACACTACACTACACTACAATACACTACACTACAATACACATCACACATTACACCAATAAGTACAGTGAGGGCATATATTTTTAGTGTGTGTACGAGATCATGCGGGATCACAAACACATAGTGCCTTTAAAAAGTATTCATACCCCACATTCTGTTGTGTTACAGCCTGAATTTAAAATTGATTACATTTAGATGTTGTGCCACTGACCTACACACAATATCCCATAATGTCCAACTGGAATTATGTTTTTAGAAATGTTTGCAAATTAATTAAAAATGAAAAGCTGAAATGTCTGAGTCAATAATTACTCAACCCCTTTATTATGGCAAGCCTAAATAAATTCAGGAGTAGAAATGTGCTTAACAAGTCACATAATAAGTTGCATGGACTCACTCTGTGTGCAATAATAGTGTTTAACATGATTTTTGAATGACTACCTCATCTCTGTACCCCACACATACAATTATCTGTAAGGTCCCTCAGTCGAGCAGTGCATTTCAAATACAGATTCAACCACAAAGACCAGGGAGGTTTTCCAATGCCTCACAAAGAAGGGCACCTATTGGTAGATGGGTAAAAATAAAAGCAGATATTGAATATCCTTTTGTGCATGGTGAAGTTATTAATTACATTTTGATGGCGTATCAATACACCCAGTTACTACAAAGATACAGGCGCCGTTCCTAACTCAGTAACCGGAGAGGAAGGAAACCGCTACTCCACAATACTAACCTAATTGACAGAGTGAAAAGAAGGAAACCTGTACAGAATAAAAAATATTCCAAAACATGCATCCTGTTTGCAACAAGGCACTAAAGTAATGCTGCTACAAATGTGGCAAAGAAATTAACTTCATGTCCTCAATACAAAGTGTTATATTTGGGGAAAATCCATCACTGAGTCCCACTCTTCATATTTTCAAGCATGGTGGTGGCTGCATCATGTTATGGGTATGCTTGTCAATGGCAAGGACTGGGCAGTTTTTCACTTGGGGGGTATTGTGTTGAATTCAGGCTGTAACACAACAAAATGTGGAGTAAGTCAAGAGGTGTGAATACTTCCTGAAGGAACTTAAATGTATGCATTCACATGACACTCAACAACACCTATGTAACATCAGGATGAACAAGATACAGCAAGCAAAACCCCAGTCACCATCCTGTACCTAACATCAAGCAAAACCCCACAATAGGATGCCAACTGTAAACCCCCACAATATGATGGCAACTATAAACCCCCACAATATGATGCCAACTATAAACCCCCACAATATGATGCCAACTCTAAACCCCCACAAATGATGATGCCATGAAAACCCCACAATAATGCAACACTCTAAAACCCCACCCAACTATAAACCCACAATAGGATGCCAACTATAAACCCCCACAATAGATGCCAACTATAAAAAACCCACAATAGCAACTAGGATCCAACTAAACCCCACAATAGGATGCCAACTAAAACCCCCCAATAGATGCCAACTATAACCCCACAATAGGTGCCAATATAAAACCCCAAATAGATGCCAACTGCCACATTAAACCCCACAATAGGATGCAACTAAACCCCACAATAGATGCCACTCAAACCCCACAATAGGATGCCAACTATAAACCCCCAATAGGATGCCAACTATAAACCCCCACATAGATGCCAAATAAACCCCACAATAGGATGCAATAACCCCCCAATAGATGCCAATTAAAACCCCCACAATATGATGCAAATTTAAACCCCACAATGCAACTTAACCCCAATAGGTCCAATGTACCAATATAACCCCCACAATAGATGCCACTTGGATGCAACTTTAAAAACCCCACAATATGATGCCAACTCTAAACCCCCACAATATGATGCCAACTTTAAAACCCCACAATATGATGCCAACTTTAAAACCCCACAATAGGATGCCAACTGTAAAACCCCACAATAGGATGCCAACTATAAACCCCCACAATAGGATGCCAACTATAAACCCCCACAATAGGATGCCAACTATAAACCCCCCAATAGGATGCCAACTATAAACCCCCACAATAGGATGCCAACTATAAACCCCCACAATAGGAAGCCAACTATAAACCCCCACAATAGGATGCCAACTATAAACCCCCACAATAGGATGCCAACTATAAACCCCCACAATAGGATGCCAACTGAAAACCCCCACAATAGGATGCCAACTCATCATGAGACCGACTGTGAATGCGGAGTGTGAATGCGGAGTGTGAATGCGGAGTGTGAATGCGGAGTGTGAACACAGGGTTTCATAGAATCCTGTACCTTGTAACCCTGCTTCTCAGCATTGTCCTTAGCGCCATCCACTGTCCTCACCCGGTACTCTAGCACGGCCCGGGCTAACTGAGGATAAAAGAGACCGATACTGGGGTACATCCAGGTGTCCTGCACAGGGAGACAGAGGGAGGGCCAGTTCAGTCACACTAAAAGCCTAATGGTTCAATGGTAGCGGTTACCCTAACACAATGAAACCTCTCCTTGAGTACAGCCAGTTCCACTTATGTGTTGTATTCCAGTACACCTGATTGGACGGGTCAACTAACCACTTCCCTTCATGAGTTAAATCATCAAAATAAGAAGAACAGTAACCATTGTCCTCACCTGGTCCCAGAACACGTGCCCCCAGTAGTCTTGCCCTGACCCCCCGTTAGACAGCCCCCCAGGACTGACCCCACCGAAATGACCGGGCGCCTCGTGCAACGAAGGGAAGGCACTGAGCAGGTAGAACATGCAGCCAATCAGAGCCCTACTCAGGTCGTCTGGACCAGTCAGCTCCAGCGTACTGCCCGCCCACAGCTCCTCCCACGCCCGGAGGTGCGAGGGACGAAGGTTCCCATTGGCCATCAGCTCCAGACCTGTTAACATGTTTACGTTCATTGCCATGACAAAGTTTCATTTTTATTTTCGAATTGGTAAAAAACATAAACACCAATATGTCCCCAGAGGACTTAGAAGTATTCATTAAATCACTTCTGTCCAAAGTGGTCCTGGGGATGGTGAAAAACGATTAAAACATCTAATGATGTATTCATGGTGCCTATCCCCATATCGTTACCATAACGACTGAGTTCAGCTAACGTTAACCTTGAGAGGCAGCTGGTCCTGTCATCTTATTACTACGAGTCTGAGGCGGCAGGTAGCTTAGTGGTTAAGAGCGTTGTGCCAGTAACCGAAAGGTCGCTGGTTCTAATCCCCGAGCCCGACTAGGTGAAAAATCTGTCGATGTGCCCTTGAGCAAGGCGCTTAACCCTAATTGCTCCTGTAAGTCGTTCTGGATAAGAGCGTCTGCTAAATGTAAAAAATGTCTGCGAGTAATGCCACGCCACCCGTCATAACGGGCCTCAGTCCAACATGTACCGCAGCGCAGACCTCAGTTGCAGCTTCATCAGGTTAGTGCTGTTTTCATCATTATGTGACTGTTGACCGTCACTGTTTTTTTACGCAGGAGGATGGTTGAGCACGCTCCCTTTCTTTACCTGTGTCGTAGTGAGCCTGCGCGCTGTCCTGACTGCCCGCCATCGCCACCACGAACCCCCAGCGGGACTGGGCCTGGTCGGGCAGCAGGGTGAGGGAGGGGGTGATGGGGGTCCAGATGATGTGGACGCTGGGGCAGACCCCACCAGGGACCTCAGCCATGGTGGTCTGGCCCTGGATGTAACTAGGGAAGGAAAGGGGTGATTGTGAGCTGAGCTGAGCTGAGCGCTGGGGGCTTTTGTATTAAAAGGTCCAATGCAGCAGTTTTTATTTCAATATGAAACCATTTCTGGGTAACAATGAGGTACCTTACTGGGATCGTTTTCAATTTAAAATGATCAAAAATAAACAAAAATAGCTTCTTAGCTATTTTTGCGGAGAGGATTTTATTCTCAGCTGCTGGCCTGCTCTCCAGGCACCATCACAGCCTGAATCCACAGACTGGTGTTTCTAAAAATGAACTCAAAAAGGCACTGTAGACTGAGCCGAAGCCATTTTTAGTTTAATTAGTATTTAATTCTAAGTCACAGCCTGTATGCGCAATTTATAGACTATAATGATTTAATACAATGAAATGTTGTTTAAATGATGAATGATTTATGTCCCTAACAGCCTAGTGTGTCACACTCGCAAATGCTTCACAATGTATTTCTTTGTAGGCTATAGCCTTGAAATAATTGAAATAATAGCCTAAATCATTCATTTTCGTTCCTTCTTAGGCTCCTTGTCTGACTCCTGACCTATTTAGTGTTTATATGCTGTTTAATATGACATGTAGCCTATTTGAAATGATGAGCGCTTCTTACGTTCACCTTTTCATGTTTATAAAAATACTTTTCATTCAAATCCATTTGGTTTGGTTTCAATACTTCAAAACCAATTGGTAGGTCCAGGTAGTCACAAAAAGAGATGGGTGTTGGTTAATTTGTGATTTTAATGAACAGAGGGAATTTGAAGCAGCATGAGTGATGATTTTCTCACATACTATTTGGCAGTACATCCAACCGTCCACCACAACCACAGACGTGTAACCACGCCAGTCCCAGGACCTCCACATCCGGCTTCTTCACCTGCGGGGTCGTCTGAGACCAGTCACCCGGACAGCTGATGAAACTGTGGGTTTGCACAACTGAAGAATTTCTGCACAAACTGTCAGATACCGTCTCAGGGAAGCTCATCTCGGTGCTTGTCGTCCTCACCAGGGTCTTGACCTGACTGCAGTTCGGCGTCGTAACCGACATCAGTGGGCAAATACTCACCTTCGATGGCCACTGGCACACTGGAGAAGTGTGCTCTTCACGGATGAATCCCGGTTTTAACTGTACCGGGCAGATGGCAGTATGGTGTTGTGTGGGCGAGCAGTTTGCTGATGTCAACGGTGTGAACAGTGCCCCATGGTGGCGGTGGGGTTATGGTATGGGCAGGCATAAGCTACGGACGACGAACACAATTGCATTTTATCGATGGCAAAGAGATACCGTGACGAGATCCTGAGGCCCATTGTCATGCCATTCATCCGCCGCCATCACCTCATGTTTCAGTATGATAATGCACGGCCCCATGTCGCAAGGATCTGTAAACAATTCCTGGAAGCTGAAAATGTCCCAGTTCTTCCATGGCCTGCATACTCACCAGCCATGTCACCCATTGAGCATGTTTGGGATGCTCTGGCTCGACGTGTACGACAGCGTGTTCCAGTTCCCACCAAAATATCCAGCAACTTCGCACAGCCATTGAAGAGGAGTGGGACAACATTCCACAGGCCAAAATCAACAGCCTGATCAACTCTATGCGAAGGAGATGTGATACTGACAGGTTTTCTGATCCACGCCCCTACTTTGTTTTTTTCACCTGTGACCAAGTATTCCCAGTCATATGAAATCCATCGATTAGGGCCTAATGAATTTATTTGACTCCTTATATGAACTCAGTAAAATATTTTTTTAATATTTTGTTCAGTGTATATTAAACACAGGAAAATCAAGTCTAAGAGGAGGAATGGTGATCTAGGATCAGTTTTGCCTGTTAGATTATAATGAGTGGCTAGGGGCTCTATGAATAAAGGCCCTGGTGCTTTCATGTTTCAGTCGGTGCCTTTTGATCTATAAAAAAAAATACAACTCACACATCTATCATATTACCAAGTGCATGGAGAAAGGCTGTATAAATTGAATGGAAAAGCAACTCCAGCTCACTGCTGGTACAAAAGAAGGCCACTGAATTGTTTTGTTTCTGTCCATCGTGCTTCCTTCCTATTTCCCGTTCAGCCAGCATTTATTCTCACCTGCCTCCTTTGTAGTCCGGTTCAGAATGGAACACTATGTCATCGCTTTGAGGTGTGAACGTACTGTCCAGCTTGACTGTGATTGGCTCCTGGGAGGTGCCCTGACGAACCAGCAGGACCTCCATGACCAAGAGGTTGGGATGGTGTCGATGGGCGTAGAGAGACTGGGAGGCAATAACACTAGCTGTCCTCAGAGAGTGGGTGAATATACCTAGAGAGAGAGAGGACAGGAACAGACAGACAGACAGACAGACAGACAGACAGACAGACAGCAGCAGTGATACAACTGTAAAGCTTGGTAACAATTTCATTCAAACTAGTGATGATGAACATGTCAACACATGGTATTCAGACCTTTACATGCAGCGTACATGGACCTCATCATCTGTAGGGTTGTGTTCTTGAGCTGCAGTGAACTACATGTACCAACGTACCTGTGTATCTAGACTGTACCAATGTACCTGTGTGTATCTAGACTATACCAACGTACCTGTGTGTATCTAGACTGTACCAACGTACCTGTGTGTATCTAGACTATACCAACGTACCTGTGTGTATCTAGACTGTACCAACATACCTGTGTGTATCTAGACTGTACCAATGTACCTGTGTGTATCTAGACTGTACCAACGTACCTGTGTGTATCTAGACTGTACCAACGTACCTGTGTGTATCTAGACTGTACCAACGTACCTGTGTGTATCTAGACTGTACCAACGTACCTGTGTGTGTATCTAGACTGTATCAATGTACCTGTTTGTATCTAGACTGTACCAATGTACCTGTGTGTATCTAGACTGTACCAACGTACCTGTGTGTATCTAGACTGTACCAACGTACCCTGTGTGTATCTAGACTGTACCAACGTACCTGTGTGTATCTAGACTGTACCAACGTACCTGTGTGTATCTAGACTGTACCAACGTACCTGTGTGTATCTAGACTGTACCAACGTACCTGTGTGTATATCTAGGACTGTTAACCAACGTACCTGTGTGTATCTAGACTGTACCAAGTACCTGTGTGTATCTAGACTGTACCAACGTACCTGTGTGTATCTAGACTGTACCAACGTACCTGTGTGTATCTAGACTGTACCAACGTACCTGTGTGTATCTAGACTGTACCAATGTACCTGTGTGTATCTAGACTGTACCAACGTACCTGTGTGTATCTAGACTGTACCAACGTACCTGTGTGTATCTAGACTGTACCAACGTACCTGTGTGTATCTAGACTGTACCAACGTACCTGTGTGTATCTAGACTGTACCAATGTACCTGTGTGTGTATCATAGACTGTACCAACGTACCTGTGTGTATCTAGACTGTACCAATGTACCTGTTGTGTATCTAGACTGTACCAATGTACCATGTGTGTGTATCTAGACTGTACCAACGTACCTGTGTGTGTATCTAGACTGTACCAATGTACCTGTGTGTATCTAGACTGTACCAATGTACCTGTGTGTGTATCTAGACTGTACCAACGTACCTGTGTGTATCTAGACTGTACCAATGTACCTGTGTGTGTATCTAGACTGTACCAACGTACCTGCATGTATCTAGACTGTACCAACGTACCTGCGTGTATCTAGACTGTACCAATGTACCTGTTTATATCTAGACTGTACCAATGTACCTGTGTGTATCTAGACTGTACCAACGTACCTGTGTGTATCTAGACTGTACCAATGTACCTGTGTGTATCTAGACTGTACCAACGTGTATCTAGACTGTACCAACGTACCTGTGTGTATCTACACTGTACCAACGTACCTGTGTGGTATCTAGACTGTAACCAACGTACCCTGTGTGTATCTAGACTGTACCAACGTACCTGTGTGTGTATATAACTGTACCACGATACCTGTGTGTATCTAGACTGTACCAACGTACCTGTGTGTATCTAGACTGTACCAACGTACCTGTGTTGTATCTAGACTGTACCAACGTACCTGTGTGTATCTAGACTGTACCAACGTACCATGTGTGTATCTAGACTGTACCAACGTACCTGTGTTGTACTAGACTGTACCAACGTACCTGTGTGTATCTAGACTGTACCAACGTACCTGTGTGTATCTAGACTGTACCAACGTACCTGTGGTATCTAGACTGTACCAACGTACCCTGTGTGTATCTAGACTGTACCAACGTACCTGTGTGTATCTAGACTGTACCACTACCTGTGTTACGACTGTACCAATGTACCTGTGTGTATCTAGACTGTACCAATGTACCTGTGTGTATCTAGACTGTACCAAGTACCTGTGTGTATCTAGACTGTACCAATGTACCTGTGTGTATCTAGACTGTACCAACGTACCTGTGTGTATCTAGACTGTACCAAGTACCTGTGTGTATCTAGACTGTACCAACGTACCTGTGTGTATCTAGACTGTACCAACGTACCTGTGTGTATCTAGACTGTACCAATGTACCTGTGTGTATCTAGACTGTACCAATGTACCTGTGTGTATCTAGACTGTACCAACGTACCTGTGTGTGTATCTAGACTGTACCAACGTACCTGTGTGTATCTAGACTGTACCAACGTACCTGTGTGTATCTAGACTGTACCAACGTACCTGTGTGTGTATCTAGACTGTACCAATGTACCTGTGTGTATCTAGACTGTACCAACGTACCTGTGTGTGATCTAGACTGTACCAACGTACCTGTGTGTGTATCTAGACTGTACCAATGTACCTGTGTGTATCTAGACTGTACCAACGTACCTGTGTGTATCTAGACTGTACCAACGTACCTGTGTGTGTATCTAGACTGTACCAATGTACCTGTGTGTATCTAGACTGTACCAATGTACCTGTGTGTGTATCTAGACTGTACCAACGTACCTGTGTGTGTATCTAGACTGTACCAATGTACCTGTGTGTGTATCTAGACTGTACCAACGTACCTGTGTGTATCTAGACTGTACCAATGTACCTGTTGTGTATCTAGACTGTACCAATGTACCTGTGTGGTATCTAGACTGTACCAACGTACCTTGTGTGTATCTAGACTGTACCAATGTACCTGTGTGTATCTAGACTTACCAAGTACCTGTGCGTGTAGTGAGTTGTATCTAGACTGTACCAACGTACCTGTGTGTGTATCTAGGCTGTAGGAGTGTTGCAGATGCCCTGCCTTCTCCTCCTCCTCTATCTCCATCCTCACAGCCAGAGGACAGGGGAGATTGGCACGGTGACAGTCCCCGCCCTCGCCGTTATAGACTCCGCCCATGTGCATGATGTCATCGTACACCCTCCAACCCAGCAGCCCATTGGCCAGCGGAGGAAGGAAGCGAGGGTCAAGGGGCAGGAGGTCAGTGGTGAAGATGTAGAGGTCAGCTGGGGTCTCATTGGTCATCGTGGGGAGAGCGTGTCCTCTTCCACTTAGGATGATAAAAGGTTAAATCAATGGTACCTACAACAGAACAGAACAGTACAACACACACAGAATGCCTGTGTCACACACAGAATGCCTATGTCCCACACAGAATGCCTATGTCCCACACAGAATGCCTATGTCCCACACAGAATGCCTATGTCCCACACAGAATGCCTATGTCCCACACAGAATGCCTATGTCCCACACAGAATGCCTATGTCCCACACAGAATGCCTATGTCCCACACAGAATGCCTATGTCCCACACAGAATGCCTATGTCACACACACACACACAAAATGCCTACACTATCCATAAAAAGTCTGGACACACCAACTCATTCCAGGGTTTTTCTTTATTTTTACTATATTGTATATTGTAGAATAATAGTGAAAACATCAAAACTATGAAATAACACATATGGAATCATGTAGTAACCAAAAAAGTGTTAAACAAATGAAAATATATGTTATATTTGAGATTCTTCAAATAGCCACCCTTTGCCTTGATGACAGCTTTGCACACTCTTGGCATTCTCTCAACCAGCTTCATTATTTAGTCACCTGGAATGCATTTCAATTAACAGGTGTCCTTCTTAAAAGTTAATTTGTGTATTTTATTTCCTTCTTAATGCATTTGAGCCAATCAGTTGTGTTGTGACAAGGTAGGGGGGTATACAGAAGATAGCCCTATTTGGTAAAAGACCAAGTCCATATTATGGCAAGAACAGCTCAAATAAGCAAAGAGAAATGACAGTCCATCATTACTTTAAGACATGAAGGTCAGTCAATATGGAACATTTCAAGATCTTTGAATGTTTCTTCAAGTGCAGTCGCAAAAACCGTCAAGTGCTATGATGAAACTGGCTCTCATGAGGACCGCCACAGGAAAGGAAGACCCAGAGTTACCTCTGCTGCAGAGGATAAATTCATTAGAGTTACCAGCCTCAGAAATTGCAGCCCAAAAAAATGCTTCACAGAGTTCAAGTAACAGACACATCTCCACATCAACTGTTCAGAGGGGACTGTGTGAATCAGGCCTTCATGGTCGAATTGCTGCAAAGAAACCAATACTAAGGGACACCAATAAGAAGAAGAGACCTGCTTGGGCCAAGAAACACGAGCAATGGACATTAGACTGGTGGAAATTTGTCCTTTGGTCTGGAGTCCAAATTTGAGATTTTGTTTCAAACCAGTGTCTTTGTGAGACGCGGTGTGGGTGAACGGATGATCTCCGCATGTGTAGTTCCCGCCATAAAGCATGGAGGAGGAGGTGTTATGGTGTGGGGGTGCTTTGCTGGTGACACTGTCTGTGATTTATTTAGAATTCAAGGCACACTAACCAACATGGCTACCACAGCATTCTGCAGCGATACGCCATCCCATATGGTTTGGGCTTAGTGGGACTATCATTTGTTTTTCAACAGGACAATGACCCAAAACACACCTCCAGGCTGTGTAAGGGCTATTTTACCAAGAAGGAGAGTGATGGAGTGCTGCATCAGATGACCTGGCCTCCACAGTCCCCCGACCTCAACCCAATTGAGATGGTTTGGGATGAGTCGGACCGCAGAGTGAAGGAAAAGCAGCCAACAAGTGCTCAGCATATGTGGGAACGCCTTCAAGACTGTTGGAAAAGCATTCCAGGTGAAGCTGGTTGAGAGAATGCCAAGAGTGTGCAAAGCTGTCATCAAGGCAAAGGGTGGCTATTTGAAGAATCTCATATATAAAATATATTTTGATTTGTTTAACACTTTTTTGGTTACTACATGTTTCCATATGTGTTATTTCATAGTTTTGATGTCTTCACTATTATTCTACAATGTAAAAAAATAGTTTAAAAAAATAAAGAAAAACCCTTGAATGCGTAGATGTCTAAACTTTTGACTGGTAGTGTATATCACACACACACACAGAATGTTTATGTCACACACACACAGAATGCTTATGTCACACACACACAGAATGCTTATGTCACACACAGAATGCCTATGTCACACACACACAGAATGCTTATGTCACACACAGAATGCCTATGTCACACACACACAGAATGCTTATGTCACACACAGAATGCCTATGTCACACACACACAGAATGCTTATGTCACACACAGAATGCCTATGTCACACACACACAGAATGCTTATGTCACACACACACAGAATGCCTATGTCACACACACACAGAATGCCTATGTCACACACACACAGAATGCTTATGTCACACACAGAATGCCTATGTCACACACACACAGAATGCTTATGTCACACACAGAATGCCTATGTCACACACACACAGAATGCTTATGTCACACACAGAATGCCTATGTCACACACACACAGAATGCTTATGTCACACACACACAGAATGCCTATGTCACACACACACAGAATGCTTATGTCACACACAGAATGCCTATGTCCACAAGATCTATCCACAGTCTTAACCTCGCTCCTCCTACCCAGACTGACCGATATTACAACAGCCCATTGCTCTACTCTGAGAGACTGCTGAACACTTAGGGTAACTGTAATATTATATACGGCCCCATCTCAAACACCAGTAGGCCTACCTTCTATTTTGCATTTTAATCAGTTGTTTATTTACTTATTTAGTTTCATGTGAGCTTATGTATGCTGTAATTCAGCTTTCAGCTGCAAATGTGTAGCCTACTATTAAAATAAACCTTAAATATATATTTCATATATTTGTTTGATATATTTGATATATCATATATTCATATATATTTCATATATTTGATACTTACCACACAAAGGACAATTTGGGTATGAGTAAATGAGAATAGAAGAGCCTATAGTTTATCAAAGAGAAAAAACTACAGCAAAAACAAAAGAACATGCATTAGTCAAGTATCATACTTTAACTGTATAGTGTAATATTGCTGAACTGATATCACTGTCCTATATTTACTGAAATGTCCAATACGCCCCTTACTGAAATCACTGCAGATCTAACATCAAGTGAAACCAATGTGACGTCTGGTTTTGTCACATGACATGTGATGTGATGTATCATAAGTGTGTGAGTGGGATAAAAACCAAATGACAGTAAATAAAGTGGATCACCTCACCACAAGACAAAGAGCAGCGTGACATATTGAATTAATCTCATGATCTCGAGAAGTATACTGTAAGGAATGATTTGAAGATGATAACGGCAAAAAGTTCATGGCGACCGTTAAAATGCTGAGGAGCAACAGTCTTAAAGGCAACTCTGTCAGCGTCAGTCTCTTTCTATGTGAAAACCGTTGCTGTCTACAGACCGCTGTAAGTCTCACCAATTCCTTGATATTCTGAGGGGGAACCGTCGCACTCTGACGTGAGAAGAAGGGGGGCATCCGCCGTTACCGGGGATGAAAGGAATGCAGAAAATAAGTGAAGAGTAGAAACAAAGGTAAAATAAAAGTGTCTCACATGAGTAGAACAACGATCTGGAACTCAAAATGCAACCAATGCAAAACGAAGTATTGATCTTCCGAAATTGATCTTCCAAAATTGTATTTTGTTGAAAAGAAAATCAAAAAGGGACTGTGAGTTCTTCTTCCAGACTTTGTACGGTTTGGAACTATGCGAAGTAGGGGGAGGAGGCATAGCGAGGGGGTTTACACTAGTTACCACAGCCACAAAGTCAAAATGGCAATATCGTACAAATTCATGAAAACCAAAACCAAAATGTTTGTCTTCATTTAAGGTTAAGGTTAGGCATAAGGTTAGCAGTGTGGTTAAGGTTAATGTTAGGTTTCAAATCACATTTTGAAACTGAAGAAATAGGCGGGGTTTATGACTTTGTGGCTGTGGTAACTAGTGACGATCATTTCGAGGCTGGTAAACGGGACCAGCCTGGACAGGATCCTTAGACCACAATTTAGATTTGTTGGTTGTGATTGTAAAGAATGGAATGGAACCATGATGTCTGCGAAGATGTAGATAGTAGGCCACCTCACCCCTCAGCAGCACTGGCCCTCACAGCAGGTTTTGCCTAATCTACGACAACTTCATAAAGACATCATGCTAGGTTCTACAGAACTACAGAAAAACGGAAATACATAGGTTATTGTACTGTGCACATGCTAGGCATTGATGTATCGAAATCAGATCGTCATTCAAATGCATTTTGATAGGATCCTCACACACACACACGGCAGTCTCAGACGCGAGTCTATTTTAGGGACAAACCAGTGGTCGGTCAGTGGAACTCTGGCACCACCAAGTGGTCATTCTAGAGTAGCGTAACGAGCCCCGCTAAGAACAATGTCCAATTGCTGACACAAAAAAAGCAAAGTTTGGTTTAAAAAATTGTAGCATGTGGATAGATGATGGTCATGCTTAGGCAAACAAACTATTAAGGGAAATAAGTGGCTACCATTTACACTTTTCTAGTTATTTAATGAAATATTGTTTTTGAAAAAGGCATATTTTCCCCAATTACTGGGGCAACTCCCCACCCCCACCAATTGGGGTAACCAAGCCCCCGAAGATCAGTGTGTTAAAATCTATTGTATAATTTTTATTTTGACATTTTTCATTAATTAACTCTTAAAAACTCGAGTCTAGGTATCTTATTTTAATAATATCAAATAATGAAAAAATTGACACTGCGCTATTAATATCCTCACTATGATGAGGTTTTTATGTTTCTGCACCAAATCATGTCCAAATCATCCTAAAGTAAAAAAAAAAATGGACTGTGTAACGAAGTTACTTGTAGATCATTTGGACATGATTTGGAAAATGCTAATTTAGGTACCTCTGACTTGCATCCCACTCAGCACGCAACGTCCACAGACTTCGAATTCCAGGCGATATCAGGTCCGTCCGTCGAGGTCGTATTTCGCCCCCCCAAAATAGTAATCCCAAATTGGGCTATGTTTAGTCTGTCCGTTTCGGTCAAAATTTAACCGAAGATCAGCCTGACCACTAGTTTGCTGTCCTCATTGAGAACATGAGATCCACGAAAATAATCATACACTATATATACAAAAGTATGTGGACAGCCCTTCACATGAGTGGATTCGGCTATTTCAGCCTCACCCGTTGCTGACAGGTGTATAAAATCGAGCACACAGCCATGCAATCTCCATAGACAAACATTGACAGTAGAATGGCCTTTCTGAAGAGCTCAGTGACTTTCAACATGGCACCATCATAGGATGCCACCTTTCCAACAGGTCAGTTTGTCAAATTTCCGCCCTGCTAGAGCTGCCCCAGTCAACTGTAAGTGCTGTTATTGTGAAGTGGAAATGTCTAGGAGCCGCGAAGTGGTTGGCCACACAAGCTCACAGAACTGGACCACCGAGTGCTGAAGCGCATAGCGTGTAAAAATCGCCTGTCCTCAGTTGCAACACTTACTACCGAGTTGCAAACTGCCTCTGGAAGCAATGTCAGCACAATAACAGTTTGTCGGGAGCTTCATGAAATGGGTTACCATGGCTGAGCAGCCACACACAAGCCTAAGATCACCATGTGCAATGCCAAGCATCGGCTGGAGTGGTGTAAAGCTCGCCACCATTGGACTCTGGAGCAGTGGAAACGCGCTCTCTGGAGTGATGAATCGCACTTCACCATCTGGCAGTCCGACTGACGAATCTGGGTTTGGCGGATGCCAGGAGAACGCTACCTGCCCCAATGCATAGTGCCAACTGTAAAGTTTGGTGGATGAGGAATAATGGTCTGGTGCTGTTTTTCATTGTTCGGGCTAGGCCCCTTAGTTCCAGTGAAGGGACATTTTAATGCTACAGCATACAATGACATTCTAGACGATTCTGTGTTTCCAACTTTGTGGCAACAGTTTCAAATCAAATCAAATTGTATTGGTCACATATACATATTTAACAGATGTTATTGCGAGTGAATGCTTGTGTTCCTAGCTCCAACAGTGCAGTAGTAACTAACAATTCACAACAACACACACACATCTAAAATAATGGAATAAAGAAATATATAAATATTAGGACGAGCCCTTTGGGGAAGGCCCTTTCCTGTTTCAGCATGACAATGCCCCCGTGCACAAAGCGAGGTCCATACAGAAATGGGTTGTCAAGATCAGTGTGGAAGAACTTGACTGGCCTGCACAGAGCCCTGACCTCAACTCCATCGAACACCTTTGGGATGAATTGGAACGCAGACTGCGAGCCAGGGCTAATCGCCCAACATCAGTGCCCGACCTCACTAATGCTCTTGTTGCTGAATGGAAGCAAGTCCCCGCAGCAATGTTCCAACATCTAGTGGAAAGCCTTCCCAGAAGAGTGGAGGCTGTTATAGCAGCAAAGGGGGGGGACCAACTCCATATTAATGCCCATGATTTTGGAATGAGATGTTCTTCTGGCTGAAATTAAGCAAGTCCCATTAGGGTTTAATATTTTCCCGGTATTTTACAAATGTTCCGAGAATAAATCACTTTTCCCGCCAAAACCGGAAGGGTCATTCAAAGCATTATAAGGCATATAAATCGGCCAATGTCTGGATTTGATTAGAGCTTTATCCAATACAATGGAAAAAAAGTATTTAGTCAGCCACCAATTGTGCAAGTTCTCCCACTTAAAAAGATGAGAGAGGCCTGTAATTTTCATCATAGGTACACGTCAACTATGACAGACAAAATGAGAAAAAAAAATCCAGAAAATCACATTGTAGGATTTTTAATGAATTTATTTGCAAATTATGGTGGAAAATAAGTATTTGGTCAATAACAAAAGTTTCTCAATACTTTGTTATATACCCTTTGTTGGCAATGACACAGGTCAAACGTTTTCTGTAAGTCTTCACAAGGTTTTCACACACTGTTGCTGGTATTTTGGCCCATTCCTCCATGCAGATCTCCTCTAGAGCAGTGATGTTTTGGGGCTGTCGCTGGGCAACACAGACTTTCAACTCCCTCCAAAGATTTTCTATGGGGTTGAGATCTGGAGACTGGCTAGGCCACTCCAGGACCTTGAAATGCTTCTTACAAAGCCATTCCTTCGTTGCCCGGGCGGTGTGTTTGGGATCATTGTCATGCTGAAAGACCCAGCCACATTTCATCTTCAATGCCCTTGCTGATGGAAGGAGGTTTTCACTCAAAATCTCACGATACATGGCCCCATTCATTCTTTCCTTTACACGGATCAGTCGTCCTGGTCCCTTTGCAGAAAAACAGCCCCAAAGCATGATGTTTCCACCCCCATGCTTCACAGTAGGTATGGTGTTCTTTGGATGCAACTCAGCATTCTTTGTCCTCCAAACACGACGAGTTTAGTTTTTACCAAAAAGTTCTATTTTGGTTTCATCTGACCATATGACATTCTCCCAATCCTCTTCTGGATCATCCAAATGCACTCTAGCAAACTTCAGACGGGCCTGGACATGTACTGGCTTAAGCAGGGAGACACGTCTGTCACTGCAGGATTTGAGTCCCTGGCGGCGTAGTGTGTTACTGATGGTAGGCTTTGTTACTTTGGTCCCAGCTCTCTGCAGGTCATTCACTAGGTCCCCCCGTGTGGTTCTGGGAATTTTGCTCACCGTTCTTGTGATCATTTTGACCCCACGGGGTGAGATCTTGCGTGGAGCCCCAGATCGAGGGAGATTATCAGTGGTCTTGTATGTCTTCCATTTCCTAATAATTGCTCCCACAGTTGATTTCTTCAAACCAAGCTGCTTACCTTTTGCAGATTCAGTCTTCCCAGCCTGGTGCAGGTCTACAATTTTGTTTCTGGTGTCCTTTGACAGCTCTTTGGTCTTGGCCATAGTGGAGTTTGGAGTGTGACTGTTTGAGGTTGTGGACAGGTGTCTTTTATACTGATAACAAGTTCAAACAGGTGCCATTAATACAGGTAACGAGTGGAGGACAGAGGAGCCTCTTAAAGAAGTTGTTACAGGTCTGTGAGAGCCAGAAATCTTGCTTGTTTGTAGGTGACCAAATACTTATTTTCCACCATAATTTGCAAATAAATTCATAAAAAATCCTACAATGTGATTTTCTGGATTTCTTGATGATGAAAATTGCAGGCCTCTCTCATCTTTTTAAGTGGGAGAACTTGCACAATTGGTGGCTGACTAAATACTTTTTCCCCCACTGTATATACCTAGTAGTCTTTCTCTCTCTATTGTTGCTTCATACCTTCATCGCTTTCAACAGTTACATTAAATACGTTTAGTTGTCCTGATCTTCATCTTTCTAATGACATCCTTGAGTATTATAGGACTAGAATGAGATGCAGAAGGTTTCTCTTCACGGAGATTGATTGGTTCTGGGTCTGGATAAATAACTGCTATAGTCTACCACCATCACGCGCTCGCTCTTCTTTCAAACTACCGGTGAGTTCTATTGGTCTGCTGCATTTAACATTCAGCAAACAAGAGCTTGCGTAACCTATTGGGATAAGAAATGCTAAAAAAAAATGATGTCCAGAAATCTATTCTAGTCTAGCTTTTCCTGCATGGGACTCCAAGAGCTAAGGAGTCAAACAAGTTGTTTCCATGTGTTTGGTACCATTCCATTGATTCCATTCCAGCCAATAGAATGAGCCCATCCTCCTATAGCTCCTCCCCACCAGCCTCCTCTGGTGAGCGTGTATATGTGTGCAGGCCTGCGG